ATTAGAGGGCCTTTTGCTCATTAATTTTAATGGCAGTCTTTTTCCGCCCCCAGTGAACCTCCTCACGGTTCTCCAGCTTAGGGAGCATGCACTAAACTGCTGTGAAGATTCATTCGTCCCATTTAATTCATTTAAGTGTCATAATCTGGTACAAGGCGTGTGAGAAGCAGAGATTTTAGGAAGTGATTGATGGTCCCCAGGCCCTTGTCAACTCGCAGAATCTAGGATCGCCTTTGCCACCCCAGCAGATTAGGTATGGTGACGGGCTTGCTTGCTTCATCAGTGACGTCAGTCTGCCTTTTTAAAAACAGCTATTGTGTATTGTGGGCGAAACCCTGTGTGCTAAGTTCCTTTCTTTCATTATGTCATTTGATTGTTTAAGTGACCCAGATGGGTGGAATCCCATTTTATGTATAAGAACACAGGTTAAGGAACAGCTTGCTCAAGGTCACTCAGGTACTGTATAGCGGGGATGAAAACAATCGAGGCCTTGCTCCCTCCGAAGCCCAAACTACATCCTCTCTAAGGAACGACTTATAATAGATACTCCCAAGTATACGAAGAGGAGATGTGGGGAAAATTTGTTTTAAAAATAAAAGCACTTACATAACATGTCATATTTTTTAAGGGTAGTGTTTAGTTTCACAATGTTTGGGGACCTATTTGAAGAGGATTATGCCAGTGTGTCATATAATCAGTATGGAAAAGGGAAGAAATTAAAGACCAAAGCCTTGGAACCACCTGCTCCTAGAAAATTCACCAATTTAAGCGGAATCAAAAATCAGGGTGGAACCTGTTACCTTAATTCCCTTCTTCAGACTCTTCATTTCACACCTGAATTCAGAGGTATGCTATGTTACATGCGTTTGATTAGTAACATGTACCATTGTCTCTATGCATAATTAATTATGCAGAATTACAAATAGACAAAGTAGCTTAATGTATTCTACAGCATATGTTTATTGTTGATGTAAGATATAAATTGGTAATTCTAGAGAGAAATGTGAAGCTTAAATTATCTTAAACATATTTTGTGTGATTACAGTAATGTTTAGTAACAAAATAAAAAAATAAGGCAATGTATTTCTTTTCTAATTCTTGAAATTTAAAATACATGAAGACAGTTTTGTCATGAAGACAATTTTGTCATGAGTGCCAGCCTTCATTATTGTTGCACTGTTTGTATTTTTGAGTTTTCAAATTTATCCAAATGGTAATCACTTAAGGCAGAGTTACCCAAAACAGTTATATCCTGCCTTTTGGAATGGAAAGGGGTGTCACATTATTTATACAGTTCATAATCGTATATCTGCAATTCTGAAATTCAGAAAACTGACAACCTGATCTGATCCGAACTTGTTTGGCCTCAGAACTTCACCTAATGTGAGGCCATTTAGAGCCTTAATTATCTCACTTGGGTAAATAGTCATGTATTTGTTACAAGAATATTAATTTCCTTGATTAGCAAATACTGTTTGTCCCAGACACTATTGTGGATCTAATGTTAAGATATGTAACCCTTTCTTCATATTGCCTTTCTAAAATCTGAAAATTCTGAGTTCCAAAGACCCAAGAAGTTAGATAAAGGGATTATGTGCAAAGAACAGAAACCTGCTCAAATTAGTTCAATTGAAAAGTGGATTTATTGTAAGCATGTAAGGGACTCTCCCAGAGGCCACCCGCAGGAAGCCAGCCTGACCTCCCGGGACCCTTGCTGTCTTGCCCCTGTTTCTCCGTGTTTCGCCGTCGTCCCACCTCTGCAAACTGGCTTCCTCCACGAGTGTGTTCCTCTCTGTGCCCCCTTGATTGCAGTGTGAACATTGCTTCGCCTTCACATGGCCATGGTTGAGGTCACCAGCTCTACATGGCTTTGTAGCCCAGCCCTCCAGTGTCTCCATATTCTGAAGACAGGCAGCCTGGTTCGTCCTGTTCCGAGTTTGCGACATCCCCCTTCCCACCACTACACATTTATTAAATCTTTGTGACGTTTTCTGCTGCTTCTAAGCCTAGAAAGACTTCCTGCCTCCAGGGATTTAGTAAATATTTACCATGGTCCCTGCCTAGGGCCACTCTAATGGATTGGACCGCGTGCAGGATTGAAGAGTGGGGCCTCTTGTCCTTGACTCCGTCAGCTCCATAAAAATATCTCCCGGAAGCAGTCAGTAATTCCACCATTAGCAAATTTCAGCATGAATAAGCAGACTCCTGGCGGGGGTTAAAACTTTCCCAAGTTTTAATAAAGTTGAAGTTAAACGGCAGCTTGAAGTAGAAAAGCAGTCTTAAAAAGAGACTGAGGCAGGTGGTTGGGGGCGGGGGCGGGCAGGTCCCGTTGAGTACCACTAAGCAAGGTGAGGGCTGAGGGGCCCAGGCCGTCTTCCTCTGTAGCACAGGATATCACTGGCCAACCACATGGGTTGACAGTGTGGATTGTGCCTTCCTTGTAAGGCTTAGCATGAATCCTGTTGCTAATTGAAGGGATGGTATAATTTGGAGAGAGCAAGCGCTGGGGGAGAGACTTCTTGGAGCTGTTTGGTACATCATGTTTTATGGAGTAGGGCTAAATCAGCTTCCATCACACTCCCAGTCCAGTGTAGCTGAGCGCAGTGGGGGATAATTGAGAAGTCCTCGTGCGGTTTTTATGCTTTCACGTTTAGGTTTGTAATTCATTTCCCCCCATTCCTCCCAGGAACTCAGGAGGACTGTAACACCCCTAACAGTAACCACTAGGGCAGCAGTGGTGGTCAGCGGGAGACCACACCCATCCCATCCCTTCTGTCCCTGGAGTAGATCAGAGTTCCCCAGTGAGGACTTCCTATCTAGGTTTGAATGCAGACTTCCCAACAGATTCAGATATTCTGCCATTGGCTGGCATAGCTAGACACTGGATTATCAAAAAAATTCTGGAGACTGGCACTGGATTGGCAACTTATTTTTCTAGGTAAGATCATTACCATCTGTTCCCACCCTCAACACAGAGAAGACATTTACATACCACAAAGGGCGTGATTTCAGAGAGAAAGGTGATCCTTCTCACGAAAGGATGGTTGGAATCCTCACGTGTGGCTTGGAAATGAACACTGCGACACAATTACATATTTATGTTATGTTTCCTAATATGTTTCCTAATGTTCCTTATGTGGCTTTAGTGACCCACAGCCATAGGCAGTAAGAAGCCATCCCAGCTTCCTGATGTCACTGATTTTAGTTTTATATGCCTATTTGCCTTTTACAGATCTTTCATACTGAAACCTTAGCATGCCCCTTTGTAGTCAGTGGTTCAAACTAATGTTACCAGAAAGTAAAGTGTGTCGAGTAAGGATATAAGTATTGCCACAGCCACATTTCTGAGTCTCTAACTGATTTTTCTTCCTGATGGTCTTGGTTTTCTAAAGTGAAATAATGTCATTTACATCTCTGATTCTACTTTTTTGTTTAGAAGCTTTATTTTCTCTTGGCCCGGAAGAGCTTGGCTCTTTAGAGGAAAAGGATAAATCTGACGCAAAGGTATTAAATCTGTGACTTAAAGAGGTTTTGGGGAGTATTGAGGAAATGTTTTTTGTTTGTTTTTTTAAATTTTATTGGGGAACAGCCATGGTCATTGGTTACACATTGCTTTCATGCTACAATGGCATAGTTGACTCTTAGGGAGGGCTCAGCTCACAGTGGCCCACACGGGGATCGAACCTGCAACCTTAGTGCTATCAGCACCACGCTCTAACCAACTGAACTAACCAGTTACCCCAAGGAAATGTTTTATAAGGAAGGAATTAAGTTCCTTTTTCATAGAAATCCATAATTCTATTAATTACCAAATGTGATCTTTATTTTCCCAAAGTGACTTGGCCTGTACCCTACTGGTAATAATGTAATTTTCCTCCCAAAAAAGAATTACCTTTCCAAATACAATGCTTTTGCTGCTGCTTTATTGACATATTGACACTCCCCACTATGCTTAGTCTTTTGATGAAGGGGAGATTTGTAAATTGGCCACACTCGCCTACCAAAATCTCTGCTTAATGCGCTTGTTCTTAACAACAACAAATAGAGACCATTATTCTTTCAGTTTGGTATTCTGGACATAAATTGGGTGAGGAGTTGGCTCAGTATAAGTGCAGATCTAATCCTGTCCCTTCCCTGCTTAAATATTCTGAAGTTTACCACCTGCAGGCTGAAGTCTATACTTCTCACTGCGAGTCTTTTGTGATCCAGCCCAGTGCTCCTCAGCCCACCTGTGTGGCAAAGGCCAGTTTTTGTGTATTTTTTTTTAATTCCCAATCAGTTGTATATCATACTTCTGTAGGATGTAATAAAAATGTTGTGACAGTGTCAGATTGTCATAAAAGTTTCCAAAGGCTTATTCTCACTTTAGGTACTTAAACTCGGGCCTGCAGACCGGGCTCTGAGCAGCGTCCTCACTCGGCCCAGCCCTCACACACCGAGTAAGGCAGGAAAGCGCTTGGAGCAGGCAGGAAGGAAGCTGTCTGAACCCCAGGGTGGGGTATTTGTGGCTGGAAAATTCTTCTTGGGGAGCATGTCTGTATCTGAGATGTTTTAGAAAAAGAATGAACTATTCGAGACTTAAATTAATCTCAGTCTGTAATTACTTGGGTGGTTAGTTAAGGCCTGTTTGGGTTTTAATATTGATCTGAACTGTGTCAAGGTAGAAAACTTCAGATAGCTAAAACATTTTGGACTGAACTTGCAAAGAAAAATGAATATTAGCGAGTTCACCCTTTATAATAAGATATTTATAAACTTCCTCCTGAGCAAACTAAATGAACTAGGAGATATGAGAAAACTATCATGCAGTTCTTTCAAAAAGCCCCAACCAGCATTGAAAAGACTTCATTTAGAAATGCATTTGTTTCTCATTCAGGTTCGAATCATACCTTTACAGTTACAGCGGCTGTTTGCTCAGCTCCTGCTCTTAGACCAGGAAGCTGCCTCCACAGCAGACCTCACTGACAGCTTTGGGTGGACCAGCAATGAGGTACGGAGGGTGAACACCGGTGTTCCATGCGATCTCATTTCCTTTCACCTTGTTTTAGGATCTGAAGATCTTATTTAAATATTTACTTCTTTTTAAATAATTACAGTCCAGAAATATAGTTTTAGACACTTGCTGTACACAGGATTTTATGAATGGTTGTGACTTGGGGTGCGGGGAGAAGGTTATGGATAAGGGAGGAATGTAAGAGCCAATTTTTACAACTTCTACCCTCAGAATCTTTAAGTAGCCTAGTTGAGATACAACACCTATTTCATGAAAATTACCATTTATATAGCAAACTGCTTACTCAGCTTAAAAAGCTGACTAGCTGTAATTCTGTCTGCCTTTGTCACTTGCTTTTGTGTTTGAACCTGGGTGTTCTGATTTGAACGTTTGCTTCAAACAAAACAGTGAAACCATCCTCGGTGGGTCTTTTCGTTTTCCCTGTCCTGCCTTTCTCCGGACTCTCTTCATTTTCTTTCTGTATCCTGTTGTAAGACTGTCATTTTCCTCTCTGAGTTCCTAAAGGATATTTCACTATAAACAAACAGTAAACATTTGTCAGCAACAAGTAAAAGGTGCTTGTCAATACTGATGGACTGGGAGCTATACAAAATCAAACAAGACCATGTCCGCGATTTTTTATGCCATAGATGTACTCTTGCATAGACAAGAGGTGTGGAAGACAGAATTGAAAGAGGCAGTGATCAGAATAATGTTGCCTTCAACAATAAACTCTAAACCGTGGTCTTCTAACAGGAGCGCTCCTGACTAGATGGTGGTGTGTGGTTAAAGAGGTGGGGCTTAGGAAGTAAATGGGGTAACAATCCATCCCCTAAACAGTATATGTTAAATTTCTGGTGTAGGGCACCTGCTTAGGATTCATTCCTTTTTCTTTCCTCCTTTTAAAAATAACTGCTTTATTCAGATATAATTCTCATGCCATGCGACTCACTCTTTTAAAGGGCACAATTCAGTGGGTTTTTTTTAGTATATTTACAGAGCTGTACAGCCGTCACTCCAATCAATGTTAGAACCGTTTCACCACTCCAGAAGAAAGCCCCATACCCAGTGGCAGTCACCTCCCCAAGCCCTTTTGTCCTATCCCCTGGCAACCACAAATCTACTTTCTGTCTCTAGATTTGTCTATTCTCGATATTTCACAGAATTGGAATCATGCAATATGTCATTTGTTATAACTAGCTTCTTTCACTTAAAATAACGTCTTCAAGATTCATTTGTGTTGTGGTATGTATCGCCACTTCATTTCTTTTGAATGCCAAGTAATACCCTATTGGGTATGCCACATTGTTTTTTTAATCTAGTCATCAGTTCATGGATTTCCCTTTGTTTTGGATAATAAACTTCCACTAATTTGCTGGTTTCATACTTCTTAAAGCCGTGAAAAGCTTATTTATGTCTAAATAAAACCCTTTATGACTGCACTGAGTGGCAGACAGGGTCTCCGAGGTGCCTTTGGCAAATTTAGGGTTGTTCGGAAGCAGCTAAAACACTTTGACAAGTTTTCTGTTCTATCAGAGCCAGTTGCGTTGAAGACATTTATATCCTCTAGCGTCTTGTCTGTTAAAAAACAAGAAAAAGATCCTGAGTCCCAGATCTTGCTCCAGCTTTCGTCCACTTTGTGGACGAAACTGATCTTTAAAATTGTCTTCCCTTGTTGCCTCTACTTCTGCACTTTCCATTTGTTCCTCTGCCTCTTTTCTTGTCAGGGTCACTCATGGCTTCCATGTGCCAAGACCAGGAGACACGTCTCTGCTCTCAACCTAACTGGCTGTCTGTGGCACTCAGCGCCCCTCCTTGCAGCTCCAGCTGCTGCTGATTCCCCGCCAGGACCTCCCCTCCCTGCTGCCCTCCTCCTGTGCTGGCTCCTCCCCTCTCTCCTGTGCTGGCTCCTCCCCTCTCTCCTGTGCTGGCTCCTCCCCTCTCCGCTCCTAAGTGTTGGCACCCCTTGGCTTTGGTTTGTAAGTTGTTCTGAAAGAGTCCTTCCCTCTCTTCATTCACAGTTGTAGGACTCATAACAGATTAAAGCAAGTTCCATTGGAGTTTTTCTCCTTAGCACTGTATTAGTCTTGTTTTAGCTTGCCCGTATGTCAACACAGTAAATTCTAGTTCTTGTCAAATGTTGGTGATTCAGACTGTTCACCAGTCCCTCTGATGTGAGATTTCGCTGTGTGTACACTGCCGGCTCTGAGAGACTGCGCTGTGCCGTGGTGTTCCTTCCTCCTGTCCCCTCTCTGGCATGGCCACGTGAATGGCTTCCCACGAGAATCAGTGTGCCTTCCTGTTTTCAAGTGAGTTGAGTTACATGTACACACTGAACACTGCCTGCTGTTATTTTCATTTTGTAGTAAAAATAGAAATAGGTGATGGTCTCTTACCCTGCCCACAGCTCGTTTAGGTTAATCATCCTTCTATGTGATCAAGGCTTACCTTTGGATTTCTTGATAAATCTTGTGTTTTTTAACTAATATCACTTTAAAAATCTGTTTTAAAAAATCTGAAGCACAAAATTACATTTAAAAGTTACCTGTTTTATAGGAAATGAGGCAACATGATGTGCAGGAACTGAATCGAATTCTCTTTAGTGCTTTGGAAACTTCTTTAGTTGGGACCTCCGGCCATGACCTCATCAGTCGTCTGTATCACGGAACCATTGTTAACCAGATTGTTTGTAAAGAATGTAAGAATGTCAGTGAAAAGCAGGTGAATATGCAAGAGTATTTTAGTAATAAGCTATATCATAAAGTATAATTCATGTCATTAAATCTTTGATTACCACCTGAGGATTAAAGTGTTTATTACTAGAAATAACTTTATCTGTTTTTTTCTTTTACTCTAGCTACACCTAAGTCATAAGTTTATAATCCAAATTTCTCCATGTAAACTGAAAGAAGCAAATATCTTAAAACATAGCTTTAATGTTTTATTCTGTACTCAAATATTTAGAAAATAGATCTGAGGGATGTTTACAAGTAGAGGCCTGTGGCCTCATGAGAAAAGCCAATATCATCATGGCTGGTGGTTGGAATATTATAAAGAAAGTTAATTAGGGAAGTAATTAACATAGAAAATTGACAAACATCTGTAGTTAAATATTGGATTTAGTTTATTAATGTCTTTGAGAAAGTTTATTGTGTGTGCTTATGTTTAAATATTATATGTTTAAATATTATGTATATAAAAAATACATGTAAAGCTTTATAATCCTGTTTAAACTAATGCAACCTTTGAGTCTTTGTCATTACACAGAGTGCCCATTTAATCTACTTGGAAATTAGACTGAAAATTTGTTCATGTAAATATAATAATCTCTGCTTCCTCTACAAATATGCTACAGCAAATGATTTTGATTTTATCACTGAACAGTTGTCCCTTAATGAAAATCTCCTTTTGTTATGGCACGAGTTACAGAAAGTTCCTGTATTTGACTATATGAGTAAAAAATTAAATACCATTTTCTAAATGTTGCATTCATTGCTATTGTGTGTGTGTATATATATATATATATATGTATATATATATATATATATATATATATATATATTCCCCCCCCCCATCTCTTTTTTATGAGAGCTGGGGATAAAAATTACTTTTTGGCCCTTATTGCCTGTGCTAATAGGTTTGGTCAGCCTAATTTGGATGTTGGGTGTCTTTTGAGTTACTGTATGATTGACTTCACTATAATAATAATTCACAAGGTAATTTCAAAACATAATGTATATGAAAGCACATGAGAAATAACAGACATTAACTTTTCACTTACATAAATTATAAACTTAAACAAACGTTACTTTTCTTACTTTAGATTTCTACCATTAACTGATGAGTGCCCTGTTACTTTATAGTCCTCATAACCCCTTTAGTGCTATGATTGCGCACACACACAAACCCTAAAAATATGCTTTAAACTGGTCAACTTCTAAGTGTTTATTACTAGAAACATGTTGTAATCCAAATGTAATTATAGAATTGATAGAATCCCATTTTGCAAGACATCCCCCCTCTTAATTTTCATAAAAATGCCTTTTTTCCTGGCTCAAAATAGTTTTTTTCTGAAAACTTCCTCCGTTTTCTAAATATTTGTCTGAACCCAGCCCTGGCAGGAGAAGAGGGGAGGTGGAGTTTGCCCCGGAGAAGTCAGCCCCGCGCTCGCTGTTCTTGCCTAGAGGCTAAGATAGCACTTCTCTGTCACAAGTGTGTTCAGTCATTTGTTTTAGCTCCTGAAAAGCAGGTTTTAATAATTGTTTCTACAGTGAACGCCTAGGCTAGTTCCTGGTGTATTTTGAGCTAAGGTATGGTTTGACTTAGAAAGGATAATTTGGTGTTATAACTTCACAGTGACCTGTGCCTTCATATGTACAGTGTTTTAGGAAAAACGTATCTGACTGTTCCCAATATATGGATGAGTTGGTAATGTGTTTGTGAAATTGTGTTTTTTAATATCTCGTTCATGTGTATTTCAGGAAGACTTCTTAGATCTAACCGTAGCAGTCAGAAACGTGTCAGGTTTGGAAGATGCGCTCTGGAACATGTATGTAGAAGAGGAAGTTTTTGACTGTGACAATTTGTACCACTGTGGGACTTGTGACAGGCTGGTGAAAGCTGCAAAGGTGAAGACAGACACGCTGCCTTTGCTTAGGGTGCTGCTTAATTAATACTTGTGGCAGGAAGGTCTGTCAGGTGAAGTCAGCTTGAATGGAAAGGTCGGAAAGACACATGAAGCCTGTAATTAATACTAAGGAGTGAAAAGACATTTACAGTATATGTATCCGTATTTTAATTTTTTACAGTAAATAATTTTTTTAAGCTTTCAACCCAACAGTTCTCTCAACTTCTTTCTCTCCCAGGAAAAATGTGTTTATACTTCAGTGTTTCTTAAATATACCTGGTTTTGATAAACTCCCCACATCCCTGCTTTTTGCAAATTACCACTGTAAAGAAGGCTATATGTTTTTATTTCTGCCAACCCAGAAACATGTGCTTTCCTTCCTTTGTCTACTACTAGGAGAGCAGATTGCTTTCTTCATTTTGTGCATATACAGTTATTTTAGTCTGTGTGTGCACACGCATGCACGCAGGCGCGCACAGTACAAGCCTGTATCCTCCCTGCTTCCCTCCCACATTTGGAGCAGGGAGATATTTAACTTGCTAATTAAAGGGCTTGACAGAGTATGTCGGAGTTGCTTGTACAGCAAAGCAAAATATAGGATGAAAGGAGGACAAGATGTAAGCAACTGATTTCTTCTGCAAGATGACAACAACTCTGCTGTCATTATTGTCTGCAGCGGTCACTTGCACCATCCACTGCTGGTGGATGATATCATAGGCTCCTCACAGCGCCATAAACTTGAGCTCAATTCAGTTAGTGCCTATTGTGCACTGACTTAAAGAACCATAAAAGATTTATCTTTGCAAGTTACTCTGTTGTGACAAAGAGATAGCACTATTCCTAGAGCTGACGATTACTGAATTTTGCAACAAAGGAAATAAGGATTGATTTAGATGACACACGACATCATGACATTGATTCGTAGGTGAAAGTGGAATAAAAACAATAAACCCCACGCCTGTAGCTTTCACAATAGGATTTGAAACCAGGGTGAATATTATATTGTTAAGGACATATTTTTCCATCCAGCTTTTGCCCCTTTATAAAACCCAAAGAGAGAGGTTTAGTTTTTGCTTATTTATTATTGTATTTCACCTTTGGTGAAATTGTTACAACTACAATCTAATAAAAATAAAATTCAGAAGATGAAGAGTCTTGGAAAGAGATTTAAATATATTCTTAGTTTCACTTGAACTTAATTTGCACATTAGTAAAACGATAACCTTTTACTAAACAAAAGCAGTTCTTTGATTCACCTTTTATATCATTGATTTAGTTCTTTTTCAATGGAAATGTTTTGCTTTTGAAACCTTTAAAATTGCCTTCTGTTGTAGTTGCATTAGATTTATTGCATCTAAGTTTAGGCTTAGTTGTGCTACCCAAATTAATGCAGATTTGCTTGTTCTGAGCATTGTTTCTTTCTTCAGCCACTCAGGTGAGTGGCTAATTGTAGTTAAGTCACTCAGGTTTTTTTAGACGTATTATTTGAGCTTGTTTGAAAATCTGCCATTTGTTAAATTGCGGTTTTATCATTTAACTTTTTTCACCCACTAGATTTATGGAATTGTTTTGTTAAATTAAATGTATTTTTAGGAATGTTAGATATTTATGATTTGGAATAATTTTATATATAGGGAAGGGTATTTTTGCCCCCGCCCCACACATGCTTAGTGCAAAGGGGTTGAGAAAAGCTGATGACTTTTAAATAAAAAGCAGCTTAATTTAGTATTTTGAATTAAAGCAAAAAATATCTTCTTATCTGCTTTAAAGAACAGTTACTGTAAAGCCCCAATCAATGGATCTTAACATTTGGGAGTTAGAATCCTTTTGAAAGTCTACTGAAAGTTGTGGCTCTTCTCCCTAGAAAAATACATATTCACGGACAATTTTTATATATTGGGTTGTCAGAAAAGTCATGACGCATTTTTGCAACGAAAAAATAGAAAAAATACGCCATGACTTTTCTGACAACCCAATAATTTCAAGGGTTTGGATCCATTGGGACAGGTCCGTAGGTCCCAGATTAAGTTGTTGAGTAAATAAAAAGAACTGTGTGTCTATAAGGTAAAGTACAGAACCCAAAGGAGGGAGGTGAAGGGCAGGCCTCGGGCAGGAAAGAAGCACCAGAGGGGACCACACAGTCAGCACGCTCGCCAGGTGGCTTTGATTTTAGGATGTGAACACTAAAAACATAAAAATAGGTTGTAAATTTTTAGTTGTAAGCATAAATGAGTGATGTCACCTTTTATGCCATAAAATAAATATGTTTATATCAAGGGCTATAGTCAGTCCATGGTGATGAGTTTATGTGATTTAAGGGACATATTTCTCTTAAAACTGTGTCCTAAGTTGCTTTGTCATATGTTAAGAAACATTATGTATTCTTTTATATAACTGCATTTTAAAAACTGAAAACATTTTTCTTTTTAACAGTCGGCCAAATTACGTAAGCTGCCTCCCTTTCTTACTGTTTCATTATTAAGATTTAATTTTGATTTTGTGAAGTGTGAACGATACAAGGAAACTAGCTGTTATACATTCCCTCTCCGGATCAATCTCAAGCCTTTTTGTGAACAGGTTTGAATTATTTTATTTTGAAATTCTTGTTTCTCCCCGTCTCAAGATTGAGTCTTTAATTGACTTGATTTTCAGTTGGCTCATTGCCGAATCTCAGCCGCAGCACTGTTAACGTTTTGAGCTGGATAATTCTTTGTTGTGGGGGCCGTCTGTCCCATGCATTGTAGGATGCTGAGCAGCATTCCTGGCTTCTGTCTGCTAGGTGACAGGGGCATCCTCTCCCTCCTCCCCAGTAGTGACAAACATGTCCTCAGACCTTGCCAAATGCCCATGTCTCCTGGGAGGGGGGAGGGGGGAGTGGGTAAACTCACTCCCAGCTGAGAACCAGTGGTTTATTACAGTCATTTTGAATTTCTAAAGTCTGGATTTGTTCTCAGTTCTTTTTATTAACCTCCTTGAAAAATCTTTGAAATAAAAATTTAAGAACAAAATTAGGAATGATCCTGCATTAGGAAAAATTACCGTTAATTGGTGCTGTGCTATCTGGATTTAGTTTACTGTAGATGCAATAAATTATCTAGAAAGTGAACAGGTAATTGGAACTTCACTGTTCTAGGATTTGTAATCCTTAAAGACACAGGCAAGAAAAAGTTTTGAAAACAGATTAATTACATAATCAACCTACTCTATAAGCCATTTAAAAATATTTTCTATATAATTGCTATACATGCTAAGATCAGAATGATGAGACTGATGTATTTTTTATTACATGTTACTTTTTATATTTTTATTAAGACAGCATTTATTAGCTAGCTATTGTATTTCTATATAAACATTTAGATGGGCCTTCCTCTACTTGAAGGAAGGCTTCATTACTGAGCCTTTTGGTGTTTGTTTTATTATATTAATTACCATGTTCTATATTAAGATGGCTCTTTGAGGCACATGACCAATCTAGTTGGAGTATAGGAAAAATTCAACAGCTAAAGAGCACATTTATAAAGCAGCATAATAGGTATAATACAAAGATGAGTTTGCTAAAACTCATAGATTCACTAATAGGGTCATGTTTTCGTTATAAGACTTACGTGATCTTAGCCAAAGTACATAAAAATAACATCGTGTTGGGGTATAGTTTTCATGTTTAACTAAGAGGCAGAATTTGGTTGGTGTAATGTGATTGGTGTTGTTATATCAATGATAGATAATTTTCCATCTAGTAATCAGAATTTTAAAATTTAAAGCCAATTATTCAAATTTATCTCAATTTACCCTTAAATAACTAATAAACAGTGAAATTTCTTATTAAATTTCAATAGTTGAAATTCTCTTTTCCCTTTGGTTATGTGTCTTCCCATTTCGTGTAAACTATATCAGTGTTTATGTTCTTGTCTCTTGTAGGGTGAACTGGATGACTTGGAATATATGTATGACCTCTTCTCGGTCATCATACACAAAGGGGGCTGCTATGGAGGGCATTATCATGCGTACATTAAGGACGTCGACCACTTGGGAAACTGGCAATTTCAAGTGAGCACAGACAGTAGTTAGAGATATCTTTGCACTTTGTTTCCTTTTCTAGTCCTATTATTTGGTGAGAATAATCTTTTGCCATTCAGTATGTATTCAGTCTGTAGAATACTTTTAGAGGCACTGAAAGTCAATATAGAGAGGTTTTAAAATTTTCTAAATAATTTCACACAGGAAAAGAACCAGCATAGTAAAAACACTCCACCTAGATTCTCCAACTCTTAACATGTTGCCACGTTTGTGCAAGTACATGCACACACACACACACACACACACACACACACACACACACCATTATCATTGTTAGTGCCGAACCATTTGAAATTATTGGGTCGTCGGGAAAATCATGACGTGTTTTTGCATTGAAAAACATAGAAAAATATGTCATGACTTTCCCAATGAATGACCCAATAATTTGAAGCCATCAGACCCCGTTACACCTAAATACTTCAATGTTTATCTCCTGAGAACAAGGCCATTCTTACATAAGCACAGATCAAAATCAGGAACTTGAGCATTGATATAATACTGTTATCTAATATGTAGCTTATATTCAGATTTCATCGGTTGTCTGATCCAAATCCTTTATAGTGTTTCCTTCCCCACTCACATCAAGTCCAGAATCATATATTCCATTTAGTTTGCATATCTCCTAAGCCTCCTTCAGTCAATAATGTTCCTCAGCTTTTTGTTTGTCTTTCATGGCACCGACCCAAGATGGGGAAGGTTTTCCTCCTATATTGTCTCCTAAGAGTTTCCTAGTTTTGCCTTTCACATTTAAAACTCCGTTCTTCCTGGAACGCTTTCCTATGAATGGTGTGAGATGTGTGGGTACCCAGCTGCCCCTCCCGTTTATTGAATGATCCATTCTCCCCACTAATCCACAATGCCAGCTCTCTTACATCCAGTGCTGACTTGTGTGTGCATCCATTTGGGGCTCTCTTCTGTTCCATGGGTCTTTTGTTTATTCGTAGGTAAACACCACAATGTTAATTTTTGTAGCTTTATCATCAGTCGTGGTATCTGGCAGGACTAGGTGTCCGGATGTGTCGTCATTCTGCAGAAGTGTCCTGCCTGCCTTGGCTTTTTATGCTTCTGCAAACGTTTCTAGAATCAGCTTGTCAGCATTCATACACACACACACAAAGTAGTGGGGTGTTGAATCTATGTGCGAAAACAAGATACATCGTTTCATTTTTTAGAGCTCCTTTAACCTCTTATAAAATTTTAAAATTATTTTCTCAAGAAAAGAACTTGCAGATGTTCTGAGGAAAAGCCCCCGCTGGGACTCGAGTCCCAGTTATTTACAGTGGGAAAAATTAGAATGTATTACACACCAACCCCAAACTCTCAGCCAGTTTCCAAAGTGTAACTGAAACACAGTAAAACGTCTGTATGTAACTTATAAACCATCAGTTAGAATGTAGAAGACTTAAAACACCTCTTCCTGATCATCAAACAGGTGATGTTGTTGGTGGATGGTTACTCACAGGCAGCGACGTGGCTTCTGTGGGCACCGACTGGCTTCAGGCACGTTCCCTGTGTTGACATGCAGTTTGCTTTTCGGAACATTTCTGTATTTCTGATGCTCTATCGGTTGTACTTGGAATGTCTTGAGAGATGTGTATATTTTATAAAGTTTGGATATTAAAAAAGCAAAACTGTTCCTCCAGGAAAATGTTTCCCAGGGAGACATTTTGCATGGCTAGATCTGTCTTCGTATTTTTTGGACTGTTTGCCTAGTGTATTGAAATGTAGTTATCTTTGGTCTATTGATTTTATAACCAACCATCTTGCTAAACCTTCTTATGTTGTAGACATATTTGGGAAAAGACAGTTTTGTTTCACCCCTTCCAGTCCTTTGCTTTCCATTTCCTTTATTACTAGAACTCCAGCTCTGAGTTAGGAAAGCCACTCAGGAATCACTCTCAAATGCTTATGCCACGCGTGCCAAGATGCCCGTGTGCTGGACACGTTCCCAACCAGATGGAGAGAAGCACTTCTGTCCTCCTCGGATCTGGTGCAGCCCGTGTTTCCGCGCTTTGTGTGCGCTGATTCGATCCTGTTACCCTCCTGCCCGCTGCTGTCTTACATTTCCGAGGGCCCGTGGTGGAACGCTCTTAGTCTGTGGAGCGTTCCCTCCCACCCTGTCGAACAAGTATATTAGCTTTATTTCATTCTCTTGAAAAGGCGAAGTTGACGTCTTTCATTAGATTCTGGTAGAAGCTTGTGAACAGGTCTGATAAGTACTTGTTAGTCTCTTCATGTATTTTTTTCTTTTTGCCTTGCCCACCGTAGTTCTTCGTCTTTCCCTTGCAGTTATGCTTCCGTGCGTTGTAACCTTTTCCCCAATATTGCCATGTCTCTTCAGTCTTAGAAAGTGCTCCCACCTTCCGCAGTTCAGCCTCCACCTCAGGGAGTGTGTCTTTGCTTTCCTCAGTGCCTGCTGCAGCTTTTGCTCAGCCAGTGTCTAGCTGGTGGGATTTATCCCCAGTCTTTTGATGCGTACAAATATTTATTTACAGTTTCATTTTCAAGTTGATCATTGAGGCCATGCACAGAGGGAGCTTCACACTGTGGTGAGGCAGCGTGTCCCAAGGGTAATGATTTATTCCAGGCCTTCCTTTTGGGTTGTGCTTTCTTGGGCATCTCTGCAGTTGTGTGTTCCTTTCTTCTGAATTGATTGGCTCTTTTCTAGCTGTGCCAGGCTCTTTCCGGTCCTGTTAGGTGACGTGAGCGGGCAGGCAGCCATTTTTTCATTCTGTACTGTGTCTCTATTCTCGGAGCTTTGTAACTGTATCAAGGTCTCCATCAAGGCTCACAGAACAGTCAGAAGATGGCTTTCTGTCTGTGCTTAGTATATTTCTGTATTCATGGCTTCCAAGGAAGCACCCTATTGTTAACTTTTTTCCTACTCTGTTCTTTAAGAATCAGTAGCTTTTCATCCAGAGCTTCATGGTGTTCAAATGATGATGAGTGCTTTAAGAACTCCAGCTTCGGTAGGTACTCCTGGACACTGCTTGTCTTTTTACTGCCGGTACCCTGAGATCTCGTGTGCCTGGAGACGAAGGATTCCAGGTGTTCTCATCATAGCCGGGTGTTGTTCTTTCTGCTCATAGTTTGGCGAGTTCTTCCTCTTTGAGGAGCTGTTCCCTGCATTCCTGGAAGTTCTTTAGTGGGTGCTGTCTGCAAGGATTAACTGTAATGGCGAACTTCATGTAATTCTCCCTGGGTTACAGTCAATGTTTCAGGCTTTCTTGGCCTATTTAGAAGGTGAATCCCTTCTTCTAGGAGGCCATTAACTATTCAAAATGTGACTCGAGATGGAGCTGTAAAGAAGAGCCTGATCTGGGCCGGCCGAGTGGCGCGATGGTTAAGAACTCGCTTGGGATGCCAGAGGGCCCCGGTTCGGATCCCACATGTGAGGGCCAGTGACACTGCCCTCCACAGCTAAGATGCTGAACAACAGCTCAACCTGGAGCTGGGCTGCCGTGAGTCGCCGGCGACGGCGTGGGCTGCAGTCCCTGTGGCAGTGGATTGCCATGGGCTACCGTGTGTAGCCAGCAGCCAGCGTGAGCGGCCAGCAGCCGCAGTGAGCGGCCGTCCAGAAGCCGGCGACTGATCTGCCTCGCCAGAGAAGAGCGCAATGATGGTGCCAACTTGGGCCAGTGAAGCAATGTCCTCCACAACTAGACTGAAGAACAAAACGACAGCAACTTGTCTGTTCCCCTTCCTCCCAATTCCCCAGCGCTGTTATCCCCCAATTCCCCAATAAAAATCTTTAAAAAAAAAAAGAAGAGCCTGATCTGTGCCTTCTGCTTCCTGGGTGGTGGGGGACTTTTGCTTCACTGACGGTTGACATCACTTCTAATACCTTCTTGTATATCTGAGGAAGCACGACAAAGAAGGCTTCACAACCGTTCCGGTTGGTGGCCCTGGACTGATGTCCACTGGACCCGCCTGTCACCACAAGGCCAAGGCTGGCGGCCACAGGCAGAGTGAGGAGGCCTGGGCCCAGCCCATATGCCGCCTGCACCAGCCTGTCAGATAATGGACACTGGCAAGCCTGCCTCTCCTTCCAGCCATTTCAACATTTCTTTTTCCTTAGTCATAAATGTCTTTAAATGTATTAAAGATACTATTTTATTATTCTGTGTCTGATAATCACAGTATCTGAAGACTTTGTGGGTCTGATTTGGATTTCTGCTGATTCTTTTTCTTTGTGATTTTAGACTGTAGGCTTGGTTGGTTGGTTGGTTTTCTAAGAATATGATTGACAGGACTAGTTTGAGGCCTGAGTTGAAAGTACCTTCCTCCAAAAAAAAGGCATGTCTTTGTCGCTACCACATGCCTGGGGTCACTTCCAACCCTTAACGTTGAAATAAGATCTTGTCTTAGTGGTTTCAGAGCCATACAGCCAGTGTGAATTTAGGCCACAAGCCCACATGAGGACCTACTTGTGATTATAAATTATTAGAGGAAATGGTTTTCCACCTTCATCTAGGGTCATGGGCAAAGCAAGCCAGTTCCTCGCTGTTCTTTACTGTAAGGTGGATCTTTTTCTAGGTTGTGCTTATGTGAGAGTGTAGCCCTTTCAGGTTTCTAGCTTTTTGCTGGAGTCTATCTTGGTGGTGTAATAAAAATACACATATTTGGTCTTTGTCCCAGGTTCCTGGTATGCAGCTCCTTGGAATTTCCTGAGTGCTAGGCATGTCTGTTGTTCATAATGAACCCCTTTTCAAACCATACCTGAGTTTATGCTAATAAGTTGACTCTTGGTGGAGACCTAGGTACCTCCAGGGTGAGTGCTAGTTACCAGGGGAGCCAACCCCGTGTTTAGAGGGTTGGAACTTTGAGCCCCACCCTCTGACCTGGGGAGGGCAGAGGCTGGAGATGCAGCACCCAGGGCAGCTGGAGACCTCAACTCAGGATTTCCTCCCGGGATTCCCATTCTCCTTGTTCTCTGAGGATTTTCCTGATGTTCTCTTGTGAGCTCAGCGTGTGTTTAAAAAGATGTTTTTGTTTTTTTTATGTTTTACTTTTTTCAGCATTTTTTATAATTTTACAGCAGGATGGTTGTATTTCATCTGCCATATTCTATTTATTATTATTACCATTATTATTTTAAGATTTTATTGGGGAATTGGAGAAGGGGAACAGTGTTGGGGAATCAGGGAAGGGGAACAGACAAGTTGCTGTCGTTTTGTTCTTCAGTCTAGTTGTGGAGGACGTTGCTTCACTGGCCCATGTTGGTATTATCATTGTGCTTTTCCCGGATGAAGCAGTCGCTTGCCGGCCATTGGACGGCCATTCACAGAGGCTGCCAGCCACTCATGGTAGATCACAGCATCCCACTGCAGCCCCACTGCAGCCTATGCCGTCGCCAGCGTCTCACAGCAGCCCAACTCCAGGTTGAGCTGTTGTTCACCATCTTAGCTGTAGAGGGCGCAGCGTCACTGGCCCTCATGTGGGATCCAAACCGGGGCCCTGCTGCTCAGAGCTGGCGTCCCAAGCCAACTCCTAACCAATGCGTCACACGGCTGGCCCTATTATTTTTGTTTTGTGTTAATTATTTAGGTCTGTTTGAATTTATGCTTTTAAGCCAATTTAAAATGCTTTTGCTTGATGGAATGTATGAAAAAAAAAGTTATTTGACATGTTCCTAAATAACTTTATAGAATAGAGTGAAAACTTGGATCATCAGTAAATGGAAGGGAGTTTTAAGCTGAGCTTGCAAAGATGGGTAGGATTTTATTAGGGCGACACAGGTGAATGCGGATAAATTGGATGAAGACCAGAAAATGTTTTGAACTGAGTGTTAATGAAAACACAACATACAGCTGTGTACCAGAATTTGTAGGATGCAGCCAAAGTAGAGCTTAGTAGGAAAAGGGCACTTTTCTTAGTAGGAAAAGGGTGTGTATTGTGCTAGAGGCTTTACTTACCTCACAATCCTGATTTACAGATAAGGCCAGAGAGATGTAAAAAAAACTTGTCTAGAATTATTCAACCAGAGCTGGAATTCAAAGCCAGGTCTGCCTGCTTCCAAAGTATATACAAATTACTATGATGTTTTTATTGTCATTTCTCCATCTTGAAACCTCCATAACACAGCATTCCTATTTTGTTAATTACCTTTTAAAAGATCATTGATAGAAGCTTTTTTATTGTTTTTTTTCCTAGGAGGAAAAAAGTAAACCAGATGTGAATGCGAAAGATCTTCAGAATGAAGAAGAGATTGATAATCCACTGATGATTCTAAAAGCAATCTTATTACAGGTAGAAAGAGACAGACAGACAGACAGACAGACAGAAAATATATATCAGATATAATAAATGAAATTTAGTTGGGCATGTGTATATATATCAAATATATATAAATTAAATTTAGTTGGTAGAGCTGATATTGTTACTTTTCCTTTGGGCGTTTTCTAAGTCTGTTTTTAAACATTTTTTATTGGAGACTTCCTGGTTATAAAAGAAATACATATTCATGGTAGAAAACTTGAGAGAAAAAAACTAGAAAATATAGAAAGAAAATACAAAGTGTAAATAAATAAACCAAATACACTCAGTCATTGTTATATAACACTTTGACCTATATTCTTTGCATTCTGTTTGACTTGTATTTATACACATATATTGGGATGGGGTTATGGTTTATTGTTTGGTTTGGTTTGGTTTGGTTTGGTATTAAGTCTTTTAAATAGTATTGGGATTTACTTTACATACTGTTTTGGAATTTACTATTTTCCCATATTATTTTTTTAACATCTGTAGGATCTGAAGTTATGTCCCCTTTTTCATTCCTAATATTGGTAATACTTCTGTATTGCCAAAAAAACTGTATACACATTTTAAGAAAGGAAAAAACTTAACTTTCTTAAAATTATGCTGATGGTAATCACTTTGAGCACCTCTTGTAATTGCAGAAGTCAAACGTGACTTGTATTCATCTTTTGTTATCGGTATATATTATTACAATTTTAATACAGTTTTTTTTCTTTCTTTAATGTGTATACATTTTTTTGGCACCCTCTGTATATGGCTTTTAATGTTTCCTTAGTACCCTGTTGTAAAGATGGTAGGTCTCCTTTTGTTTATTCATTCATTTTTTTGTGTGTGTGGGTAATTTTTTTTTATTAAATTATTTTTTATTATGAAATACCCATTTTTTAGAATTAGTTTCAGCTGTACAACACAGTGCAATAGTTATACTTTTACCCCTTGAAGTGACAACCCCCTCCCCCACTCCGCTGCCCCATTTCCCCCCAATATCATACATATCTATTACAAATTCATTCATTCTTAATAAACAATGTTTTCATAATTCTTTACTAGGGACCGAGGTTGAGTCCTTTAAACTATATTGGCCTATGGCCGCTGTATTAGTCTGCTAGGGCTGCCATAACAAAGAACCACAGACTGGGTGGCTTAAAGCGATAGACATTTATTTTCTCACACTTCTGGAGCCTGGGAGTCCAACAAGTGTTGGCAGGTTTGGTTTCTCCTGGGGCCTCTCTCCTTGGCTTGCAGATGGCCACCTCACTGTGTCCTCACATGGCCTTTCCTCTGTGCATGTGCATCCCTGGGGTCTCTGTGTGTGCCCAGATTTCTCTAAGGACACCAGGTAGACTGGAGTAGGGCTCGCCCTAATGGCCTCATTTTAGCTTACTTCTTAGAGACCCTTTCTGAAAATAGTCGAAATTCTGAGGCTTATAGGGATTTACCATAATGAATTTTGGAGGGGGGAAACATTTCATCCTCTAACAGTCACTTCTTACTCCCTTTTAGAACTTGTTTATACTTTGAAACATTCAGAAAAGATATTAATAATCCTTTTTTGCTCTTAAATCTTCTAAAAATCCCATATAATATCAGGAATCCACCAAACCTCAGAATATTCTTTGAATATTGCTCTTTAAATGTTTAGACTTTGGGACATGAAAAGTGTCGAAATTCAAGTTCTAAACTGAGACTAATTCACTTTTTTAAAAACCTTTTTATTTTGAAATAATTATGGTTAATCCACTTACACATTTGCTGTTAGAGCCACCTTTAATTATATAATCTTGTGTTGGTCCCTTTGAATTTGTAAGTGTTGCAGTTAGCGCGTCAGATTTTCTTAAATGATTCTGTGTTTCTTTCATAAGGAGGAGAGTAATCTAATTCCTGTTGATCAGCTCAGCCAGAACCTCGTGAAGAAGATAGGGATATCTTGGAACAAGAAGTATAGAAAACAATACGGACCACTGCGAAAGGTAACACATGACATTCTTATAGACACTCCCATTCCCAGGAAATTGTATCATGATCCCAGAATCATGAATTCCTTTGCAGAAGGAAATTTAAATTAGGTGAAAATAAAATCAGTATTTTTGTGTAATAGTTAGAATTCAATTGTTATTTATTAAGTATTTTATAGAATCAGGAAGAAAGCAAAAAGGGGGGATGGATAATCTCAAGAGCAAAAAAATGTCACAAAGTTCATACTCTAAAATTTATCATTTAACTTATAGAAATGTCTTCAGCTATTCACCCGAATTTCACTTGACCTTTCTTTTATACTCAGTTCTGGTAAACTTGGTGATCTGGTTTCCTCGGCTGTAAGATTAGATGCAAAAACTGGTACCTCCAGAGATAAGATATAGGGACTTGACTGAAAACAAGGAAAGCAACAAAACACTTAGTAAATATTTTGGAGCTATTTCTTACAGGAGTTAAGAGCTCACATACAAGGTCAATAAGTGTTTAAGTGCATCTTTTAATTAGGCCACAGTTCTTAAAAGGATATTAGCTTAATGCCCCTGAATTCATAGAAGGTTTTAAGGTTTTCATTTAAAATGATTGGATCAATGTTTCAGTATTTTACTTTTAAGCTATTAGTTGTGCAGGTTTTCAAAAAATATATAAATACCCTTTATAAGTTCGAGGATGTTAGCTTTTATTCATAGTTGACTGATGGTTCCATCTTGAGTACAGGTTGGATTTTATCAAATGCTGTTTGTTTTATATCTATTGATATGATCACATGGCTTTTCCCTTATTCTGTTAGTGGCTGATCTTTTTAGTGTTAATCAAATCTTACATTTGAGTTAAATCACACTTGGCCATGACACATTTTTATGTATTGCTGTGTTCATTTGGCTCATTTATTAAGGACTTGTATCTGTATTTATGAGAGAGATCCTTCTTTAATTTCCTTTTTTTTGTAATGTCGCAGATTTTATTATCAGGGTTATACAGGACTCATAAAACAAGTAGGGAAATATTTCCTTTTTTATATTCTTGGAAAGAATTTCCCTAAGATTGATTATTATTTCTTAAGTGTTTGATGAAGCTGTTTAGACTTAGAACTTTATTGTAATATGGTTTTAAAATTATAGTTTTAATTTCCTTGATTATAGAGTTATTTAGTTGTCTATTACTTCTTGCATTATTTTGGAAAATTATATTTTTTAAGGAATTTGTCTTTTTACCTATGGTGTCAAATTTATTGACATAAAATTGTTCAAAATATCCTATATTATCATTTTAGTGTCAGTGGGACTTGCCTTTTTTTCATTTCTGATATTGATAATTTGTTTTTTCTCACTTTTTTTCCATCAGTCTCGCTAGGGGCTCATCAAGTTTATTAAACTTTCAAAAAACAAACTTTTGCCTTTGTTGATTTTCTCTACTGCTCATCTGTTTTTATTTCATTGATTTCTGCTTTTGTTTTTAATTATTTCCTTCCTTTTATCTCTGGGATTTAATTTGATCATCTTTTTTCTAGCTTCTTGAGGTGGTATCTCAGTTTTCTAAAAAACTTTCCTTTTGATACATGCTTTTAAAGCTATAAATTTCCTTCTAAGCACTATTTAGCTGCAGCTATATTTGACATGTTTTCATTGTCATTTGTTCAAAATATTTTGTAGTGTCTTTGATTCTTTCTTTGACCCGTGAGTTTTTTTGAAGTGTGTTGTTTAATTTCCAGATATTTGGGGGATTTCTAGTTACTTTTTTGTTGCATCTGTAAATTGATTTCTGATTAATTCCATTGTACTTTGAGAACATGCTCTTAGTTCTTTTGAATCTTAGACCTGTTTCATGCCTTTGCCTGAACTCTCCTCCACCTTGCACTGCTGCAACCTGGGAAGCAGTAGATTAGTGCAGAACGCACCCTCGTTTGCTTCCTGTTTTTGAAGTATTGCATGCATTTTCTCCACTTTATGCCTGCTTTTGGTTACTCTCCAAACAGTGTTGTCATTATTTTGCCTAGTGTTGATCATTTTTATTAGAAGGGTTAGTTCAACAAAAGTTCTCTGCCTACAAGAGTTGATCTTCAACTATCAAAGAAAAAATTGGCTGTACAGAAAGTTCATTACTCAGAGGTTTCAAATTGTTGATATTTTACTGTACTTAAAACAAGTTAGCTACAAAACTGTTTTACCATCTCTTATACAGTGTTGACAATATGTCGTTGTGTTGTATGCCCTGTGCCTTTCTATTTGTGATAAAAATAATACTTTTGATTAGAGTTGCTATTACCATAGATTAGTTCTTTCCAAGAGACAAATGAGATAGTCACCTTTCCGTAATGATTGATGAGCTCATTGCCTGTTACATGTGCCTCCCAAGTGGCTTTCCAGATGAAGCGAATGTGTGCTGAGAGAAAAGGAGGAGATGCAAGGGCTAGTGAGAAGTAGGGAAGGAGAGGAGAGGGAAGCAGGGGATGGAGACGCAGGATAGGCAGTGGGAGAGAACATTTTTTTTCTTCATAATCCTTTAGCTAAAAGAACCTAAGAAAGAGTCTTTGGGATTATGACTCAAGCCTTTCTATTTCTAAGCTTGGATTTCCTGAGCCAGCCTGTCAACTTCCAGGACAGAAAACATTCAGCTTAGCTTCAACGTAGTTAAACAGAACTGTAGGCTTAGAATTGCTACCTGAATTTGTCTGAGTCACTGGGTTTGAAATGATCTTCTGTTGTGCTTCACTGCGTGGTTTTGTTTTGTGCTTTGTTTAGCTTGCTTTAAACATTGTACAGCTGTTTGTTTTACCTAATGTTTCAGTAAAGCACTTTTTAAAAACAGTGTTATTGAGGCATAATTAAAATATTTTTAGATTGTGACATGGCAACTTTTTTCTTGATATAACTATTAGGCTGTTTAGCAGAGAGAACTCTGACTTTCAGTAAATGTTTCATTACGGCCCAAATGGGTTTTTTTCCTCCTAGCTGGCCAGGCCAAAAATAAAGGTGAAGTAAAAATATCTAATCACAGAAAGGAAGATGAATTTTTTTTTTATCATGTCTAATTTAAAAAAACTTTTTTACTAACCTAGTATTTGTTATTTGTTCCTGTCTAGTTCTTACAGCTTCATTCTCAGATATTTCTGCTCAGTTCAGATGGAAGTACAGTTAGCCTACTGAAGAACTGTCCTCTGCAGGCTGAGCCCAGATTCCAAAGGAATGATCCGCAAGCATTCAAGACACTTACCTCAGAACCCCCAGCATTAAATGACAGGGCCTCCTGTCCCCACTGGTTTGATATAAATGATTCCAAAGTCCAGCCCATCAAGGAAAAGGATATTGAACAGCAATTTCAGGGCAAAGAAAGTGCCTACATGTTGTTCTATCGGAAATCCCAGTTGCAGAGACCTCCTGAAGGTATGGAGAGAATGTTCCTGTGTGTTTCAGTGGATGACTTTAGAAGAGAAATGTTAAATACTGTTTGAATTGTCACCCTCTTAAAAGGAGGTTTACCCTTGCAACATTTAAAAATATTTTTAAGCTATTATAACAGCAATAAATATATGATGCCAAAAGGGTTCCAACAGTCTATCATTTTTTTTGAGATTATGTATTTCTATTAAATTTCTTCTCCCCCTCTAATAATATGAGGCCATAGTCAGATTTTCAAAATTGGATTTTCTTGGACCGCCCCATCCTTAGGCTTGGCTCTGTCATTCAGCCTTGTGTTGCCTCCAAGTTATAAGTGGCATTGGTCTTATTTTTATATGTTCCCTTTTATTTTCCTGTCTTATTTCCTTCCCCTCAAGGTAATGTAGTGTCTGAGCAATTGAAATACCTTTGAAGCACTCTTTGTTGAAACTTCTAAGAGAGCTAATACCATGGAGGTTACGCCCGCAAATGATGAATGTTTGAATTGAAGCCACTCACATGAATCAGCCTGTAAGACTTTGATCACTTCCCAAAGTCTACTCAAAAGTAAAACGCTGACTAAGAAAGCTCTTTAGATTGAGATATATCTGTGATTAGAGATGAGGACACTGTTCTTAGAGAATGGGAACAGCGATCATTGTTATAAAGAATAAGAAAGCAGTTAATAATTTGCATGTGAATCAAAGGAAAGTAACTTACTGGCTCTGAAGCAGTTACATAACTATCCTGTTAACCAGAAAGGGCTTTGTATTTTTCTGAGGGGGGGAAAAAAGACATAGTAATGGTTCAGATAAATATATTGCCAAGCAGAATTCAGTTATAAACATATATATTAACAGAAAAAGTGTGTCTTCCGATGGAGTGTGGTCTTTTTCACTATATTGAATTTTAGTATGTACATAATTGGAATATGTACTAAATGACAGTTTTCTAATTAGCCCAGGAATTGAATAAAGGTCCAGCCAAAATCTTGATGGACTCTTTTGGGGAATAAAGGAATGGGACTTGACAAAATGATTCTAAAATTTACCCAGAGGGATAAATTAGTGAAAACTGAAGAAGGGACTTCTGAAGGAAAATTTGCTCTGTCAGTAAAATCATACTAATAGAGCTATAGCAATTAAGACAATTTGGTACTAATGCAAAGAGGTGGGTGGACCATTGAATGGAGCAGTAAGCCCAGAAATTGATCTGACTCTTTTTTAGATTTTAATCCATGCTAAGGTAGCTTTTCAGATAAGCAGGGAAAAAGTGAATTACTCAATAAATACAACTGGGAAGTCGGTTAGTAGCTAATCACTTGAATTAGCAATTAGTAAAATCAAGTGATTATACTAACCACTTGAATTTACTATTTAAAATTATATTAATCACTTGAATAAAATTATAGTTCTTTTAATGTTCATGTAAAAAAGGAACCTTAAAATGTATAAAATGTAAATGTTATTCTGATCTTAAGGTAGAGAAGACTTTCTAAGCTTAAAAGCAAAGAAAGAAAAAAATTAAGAAAAAGTGATATAAACCTTAAACAATATTAAAAGGCAAATGATAAGCTCATAGGAAGCAATGTGTCCCACTGTCCTCAGTAGTAAATTGGGAAAAGGATATAAATAAGCAACATACAAAAGAAGAAATAGAACAAGCAAACTGCAAAAAAACCCACAAAACATTTCAGTCTAACCTGTAATCAAAAACGTGAATTGAAACAGCAACGGGAAGACACTTTTGCAAGTCAAATATTACTAGTAATCTGGTTGTTAACAGTTAGCACTTCCTCTATAACTGGTAGGTTATAAAAGTGATACAACCTATTTAGTTGTATGTATTTAAAAATCTTAAGCCAGTAATTCTACTTCTACAAATTTGTCTTGAAATAATCAGAGCTGTGTATAAATATTTGTGTTTATAGATGTGTTACCCACATTATTTTATGATAGTGACTAATGGTAATCACCTAAATAAATGTCTAACAGAAAAAGATTGGCTAGATTTATAATTATGCTGTTTATAGAACAGACTACTATGCAATCATTTAAAGCTTTGGAAAAATACTCAACAATATATGAAATGAAAAAGCAAGTTACAAATTTATTGAATATAATCCCATTGTGTAGCAAATTTAAACAAGTGTGTGTGTACATACACAAGACACATTGTGTAGGTATAGAAAAAAGACCAGAAGTATATGTATATATCAAATTTTAGCAGTATTTCTTAAGGTAGTGGGATTACATGTAATATCTATTTCTGTTACATTTTTAAAAATAATTTTCAGAATTTTTAAGTGACCAATTATTACATTTGTTACAGGAAGAAAATAGTGGGTTTTTTGGTTTTTTTTAAAGTATATTTAAAGAGGGTTGAAGAAATGGAACTCTTCTAGCTTGGCTTAAAGAACTGTTTACCTTTCATTTGTTCTAATGTGTTCATTTTGCAGATGGAAAACTGAGATCCCAAGAAAATTAGTATTCACACAAATAGTCGAAGCTTTTCTAGCTCCCAGCTCGGTCCTTTCTAGTTGCTCTTCAGCAACCAGATTTCATTTAGTCAGCACAAGTTAATGAAATGTTTTGTTCACAGCTCGAGCTAATCCAAGATACAGGGTTCCATGCCATTTGCTAAATGAAATGGATGCAGCCAACATTGAACTACAAAGAAAAAGGTAATTATAACTTTTAGAGTTCGAATGGTTTTCTGGAGATTGAGGATCTAATTTAGGTCTTAAATATTCGGTAATGAAAATTTAAAAGGAAAAAGTCAACTAGTTAATGCCAGTATCTCTTTCACTGCTGAATTTTTGTAGTGAGAGTATCTTTTATTTTGAAATTATCCTTCTCTGAGAGTGAACGGAATAATGACACATAAATGGCTGTTGCCTAGTGGGGATTGAAGCCTAAGAAAACTAGAGAAACCGGTGAGCATGTAGTTGAACTAAATGCATTGAATCCTGGCCCGTCAGGTTATTCCCTCGGTACAAAGAGAACCTGCATGGAAAGCACCCATCCTATGTCAGTAGTTGTGGAGAACTGGCATGGAGTGACAGAAGACCAGAGGTGGGCAAAAGGAAGGCAATGTGGATTCTACAAACATGGTGCTTAACACCAACGGTGGGCAGAAACCTAGAGTGGGCTATTAACTATTCAAGGGATGGTTAGTGAGAACTTGATGATCTCAGCTTTCTCTTACGAGGTCTGACATTGGACCCTGAAGAACTGGTTCTTGATTTGCTCTGACACAGTTGGTGGGGTGTTGGGTTTGGGAGATGGATGTTCACGGTCCTTTTGTGGACTCAAGTGGCTGGTTATGCAGCAGGGATGGCTCAATATTTCCATCACTGACTCGAAGCCGGGGCGGCAATGGCAGGTGGGTTGCATGGCTAGCCAAGACCAAAGGAAACCTCAACAAACATCAAGACAACTAAAAATATAAAAACTTGACGGAGGAAAATACCTTAAGCCTGAAAAATAACCTGCACGAGTGGTGTGGATTAGCAGTAGGTATAAAAAAAACAAACGGCCAACCTAAGGGATTTTCAGTCAGCCAGCACTAAGCTTTATGATGTGGTCGTCAGAAAAGCTAACGCTATCTTTGAGCACAGTAATGGAATTGTGTGTGAAGTACCAGGACGGTGTGGCAGCCTCTCCCACCATCAGTCACATGCTGCAGGGGAGCGTTTGGCACGGGCGTCAGGGCCCCTGGGGGGGTTCGGAGAAGGGCAGGCATTGAGGGCTGCTGCCGAGGACGCTTGACCTAGACAGAGGAGACTCAGGAGGGTCATGAGATCAACTTCAGGCAGTTTAGGGGAGAGCCTGTAGGTCTAGTGGAAGTAAGGATGAGTTCAAAGTTTGTAAATCTGACAACACGGTTATTAGGAGCAGGTTTCTAGCATTTTGTTTGTGGTCTAATCTCAGGATTGGAAGATTTCAAGTGTCAGTTATTCAGAATAACATTGCACAGTGTACGTGGAAAACCCATTTTCCTTGGAATTCACGGTGACAGAGCTGAAATTTTGCTATTTATTGAGAAACTAAAATGAGTCATTTTGGAGCATGGAAGAAAAAGATGTTAATTATAATTACTTAGGTGGAATGAAGAACTTATTTATATTGTAAATCAAATATGTTTGGTTTGAGATGAAACTGTTATAAAAAACATAGCATTTATGTATTCTTTATGCCTCTTTAAAGGGCAGAATATGATTCTACAAACAATAATTTTGAATTGCATCTCCACGTGGGCCCTCATTACCATTTCTTCAATGGGGCTTTGCACCCAGTCTCTCAGACAGAAAGTGTGTGGGATTTAACCTTTGATAAAAGAAAAACTTTAGGAGATCTTCGACAATCTATATTTCAGGTAATTTAGCCTCATTTCCTCTCAATTTAGACATTAAGGTCCATCTCAAGCTGCATTTCTCTTTTCAAAAATCCTATTTAGGACACAACTGTTTATTTTTCAAAGCTGCTTCGGAAACTCCTACATCTGCCAGCTCTGGAGAGGGATGGTCCGGGCGTCCTCCTCCCCTGTAAGGCTTCCAGAGAGGCCTCTGCTCAGGCAAGCCTCTTGGTCCCGTCAGGAGGGTTCAGAGGGAGAGGCCAGCCTGCGGTATTTTATTTGTGGGAGAGAAAGAGTATAAGGTTGTCTCTTTTTTGGAAAATAAATGAAAGAGAATTGTTTTTAAAGGTGGTGAAAAGATAAATATGTGGACTAAAACCAAGAACTACTAAACAAAAGTAGCTAACTTTTCTACCTTTCAGTACAGAATAGCATTTGTTAATAAAGATTCCTAAGTGCAGGAAAATAATCTACTGGTCTCTAGTAAGAACAAACATTGTAATCATTGTTTCCAAATAATTAACCAGTTGTGTTTTAATGACAACAACAGCAGTGCTCTTTATGTCACTTACGATGATTTCATGTTATTATAATTATAGCACTTGGCTCTTTAACCTCGTGAGGACAAGCTAACGAACCCATTTTAAAGGTGAAGAAATTGTGATTCAGTTGTGATTGCCTGGGTCAGACATCTGCTTAGTGGTGGAACCAGGTCTCCAGCCCTGGTCTCCCGACTCTTTCTTTCCTCTTAATCTCACATCCTCACTCCACACTACTTCCTGGTCAAGGAAAAGGGAAAGGGAAATAGAAAATGTACTTCTTTTTTTTTTTTCCAGAAATAAATGAATTTTCTGTAAAGCTAAATCAATTACCAAAATTATTAGCTTTCTTTTGATTTTCCTCTTGTACATAGAAAAACAGGGCAATTTCTTCTTTAACTTTAGTTGATTTGAGTGATATTTAAATGTTGGATCAGTATCAGGATTTCTAAAATTGTCTCATATTTCTGAACTTTTGCATTAAAAGTTCATTTCTGAGCCAGTCCTGGCAGTGTTGATATAGGTGGACTTGGGGGTCTGACCGCCTAGAGTGACATTAGGTGACAAATGGAAAAGACCTTTAAGTGCACATCTCTGTTATCTTAGAAGTAAGCCACTGGCAAGAGGCTGTGAGAGTGATACAGTTAGCTAATCACTTGTAAATGTGAAATTTTCTAAGAGAACTGTCTTGTGGTATTGTGGAGAGAGACTAAATAGGACTTCATCTTTATGGGTGATGTTAATTTGGTGAGATTACCACAGTCTCCAGAGTCTTGGATCTAGAAACTTAAAAAAGAAACCCCTGGTAATCTATTACACTTCTTAAATTTACAGTGGGAGACATTTCTTTTAAGTAGTGAGAATACGAGTGTATGTTAGAGTCTGTACTGCCTTCCCTGAATGGCACTAATTAAACAAATCATGTTTGCTCTTTTGGACAGATTCCTGGGCTGGCATGCGGATCAGTTTGCCTGTGATAAAAGGGATCTTCCCATAAATTAAGTAGAATTGTTTAGGTGGTCTGGTGCTCGTTGTGTTGCCAAGTATTTCAGTCTCTAATGGATGAGATTAACCATTTTGGGATTTGACTGATTTAACAATGACTGATGTCTTCTTCCTTATTTTGATGTTGGGTGGGGATGGGAGTATTCATTTGTTTGTTCCCTGTATCATCTACATATGTAAATTGACACATCGCTCTTCCATTTAAAGGGGAAATGTGGTATATGTTACTGTTCATTGTTCTCTTTTTTTAATATTCTCTAGCTGTTAGACTTTTGGGAAGGAGACATGGTTCTTAGTATTGCAAAGTGTTTACCTGCGGGACTTCACGTCTACCAGACACTTGATGGTAAGAACGATATTAAGACACAGCAACTCATTTTATATATTTATATTTTAGTGGGGCTCATCTGTGATTTTCTACTCTTGGCCAGTCTTGCCTCCTTCCCACTACTTTCTTAACTATGTGATTTATCCAGTTCATAATGTGTCCAATTTATGTAATGTGTGAAATTTTGCTACCATGGAAACATTTTATATTTTCTGAAATTAAGGCTGCCTCTCCACCAAATTACTTTTTTTAAGGCTTTGGAATTTTTTTATATTACCACAAATTTTTAAGCAAAATGATTTGGAACCATTGGATCTTATTTATATAGCTTGATTTTATTTTTACCCAATTCTCAGCTTCACAAATGTACTCTGAGAGCTTAAAAGTATTTACTTCCTTTAAAGAACAACAAAACAGGGCCGGTCAAGTGGCGCGTTGGTTAAGAGCTGGCTTGGGACGCCAGCTCTGAGCAGCAGGGCCCCAGTTCGGATCCCACATGAGGGCCAGTGACGCTGCGCCCTCTACAGCTAAGATGGTGAACAACAACTCGACCTGGAGCTGGGCTGCCGGGAGTCGCCAGCAATGGCGTAGGCTGCAGTCCCTGTGGCAGTGGGTTGCCATGGGCTACTGTGTGTGGCCGGCAGCCAGCGTGAGTGGCTGGCAGCTGGTGTGAGCAGCCGTCCAATGGCCGGTGAGCGACTGCCTCACCCAGGAAGAGTGCAATGATAATATCAACAACGCGCCACTGGGCCGGCCCAGGTTAAATTGTTTTTAATAGTCATGATGAATGGCCTCACTGATGATCTCATCTTCCTAGGAGATGACCTGACACTGTGTGAAATTGAAATTGCTGATGAGGAAGACATCTTTGTATGGAATGGAGTGGAGGTAAAAAAGTATTGGAGAAATAGTCATGACAGTTTCAGATTTTTTAAGAGTCATTGTAGTGAAATTTTATTTGGCAGATGTGAAGTCAATAAGATATTAGAAAACTGCTGAACTATTTAATAAATGTTAGGTACAGATAGTAGCAGTTACATGTTAAAGATATTTATTGAGCACCTCCGTTGTGCCACACCGCGTGTCAGATGCTATTATAGATACAAAGGTAAACAGCCTGAGTTTTCAGGTGCTCATGTGTAGTCGCACTAAGATAAGTGCTGCAGTGGGGTCTGTGCCTGTGCCCTGTGGGAATTCAGAAGGGGGCGAATGGCTCTGCCGAGTGAGGGGTGGAGCTGACGTGTGGGAGCAGCGTGAGTTTCCTGAGTCAGGCAAGGGGTGAGGGCCATCTCAGCCACTCAGTAAACGTCCTTGGTGTTTCCCGGGCTTCGTTACCACCACTGAGGACCCGTACACCTCTGTCTCCACTCCCGATTTCTCTCCTAAAAGAGTAAAAGATGGCTAAGAGACAGTTTCAAAAGAAAAATCTAAACTTATTTTTCTGATATTTAAAAGACATTTGTGAAAACTTGACTTGAAAAAAATGAGAATTGTTCTACAAGAGTAATCTTTTACTGCGTTGTCATGTTGACTTAATGTTAGCAAATGTAAACTGTACTAATCGCTGTCTTGATATTACTGTAGGTTGGTGGAATCCAGATTCCAACTGGTAGTGACTGTGAACCTCTGCTTTTAAATGTTCTTCGTCTAGCAACAAGCGGCGACGGCGAAAAGTGTCAGCAGCTGACAGAGTCTCCACAGGTCTTTCCATCTAACGCAGAAGTAGGCTCTGTCTTCCCAGCCTTAGCAATTCCAGCAGGTGTCATCTGCATCAGCAGCGCTGAAGGTACGGATGATGAGGGCTGGACCGCCATTCCCCCGGAAGACTGGAGGAAGACATTCAGAGAGCAAGGCCTCAGAAACGGAAGCTCGGTTTGGATTCAGGACTCCAGTCATGATAATAACAGGTAACTCACTAAAAAGAGAATTCTTTCTTATTTTAATGATAATACTATCTCTTAGAACTAGCTTTATTTTCATAATAAGAGTTAAATGTTTCTCTTTAGTTCTAGACATTATGTTCTATATATTGTATGCAGGAAAGTTCTAGATTAGGCAACTTGGATAAAAAGATATTGTGATGTCTTTTTGGGGGGGAATTGTGATAACTAAATAATAGAAGTATAGACAAGATACAGTCTAGATTAATTGGCTATAAAGCAGAATCCTATCAAATAAATTCTGATTAGCACTCATTGTAAAACTGAAGGCACGTTCTCCCTAAGAAAGTTCCTGAAAATTTTCATGAGGATGGTATTAAGATCATAGCTAAATTTGTCTGACTATTTTGTTCCAAGAATCCCATAAGGCAATTCAGTTTTTCAACACGGTGCTTTTTATGACTGCTGAGATCCTCCCAGCTGCCCAGATAGGGCAGTTACATGGAGAATGGTGCCCTTGATTCTATAATCACGCATGAGGCTCAGAAATGGTGCCTCTCTTCATTTTTGTTATCCTTGTCTGTGGCATTGTGTCGAGTCCATTTCTGTGGTCAGCATGTCATACACTCACCGCCCCAAATTTCCATCTACTGAAGACGAGGTTAGGAACAGCAACTCGGTTGCCTGGATTGTCAGTGCTGTGAGTGCGCTGAGCTCACCCTCTCTGGGTTATGATTAGTTGTGGCTGCAGCTCAGAAGCGGAGCCCTTATGAACTGGGTTTATTGCGTGCAACACTTATCACGATTACTCTTTTGGGAAGGCATTTTCCATACCGTGTGTATTTAATAAAGTTTATTATACATTTTTTTAAGTAATACACATTTATTAAGACTTGGGCAATACAGAAGTGAAGACAGAGGCCCCCCTCAGCACCCCTGTACCACCCGTGCACGCCAGTCACTGTCAGCTTTCCTATTCTGAGCTCAAAGAATTGACTTTTTGTTTCGAAGCATTTTTCCTTTTAAACATAATGATTGTTTTGTAGATAGTTGTATCCTGCCTTTCGCCCCATGTTTGTAGACTCTTCCTCACTTCATTTCATGGCTACGTAACCGTCTGTTGACGTGACCTGCCTGGGCTCCTGTGGGAGGCAGTACGTGGGGCAGGCGAGGAGCCAGCTGCCTGGCTCTGTGTCCTGCTTTCTCACTTCCTAACAGTGTGACCGTGGGCAAGCTACTTGCCCTCTCTCTGCTCACTTTCTGCTTCTGTAAAATGCGGATAACAGTTAGTACCAATTTCACAGGGTTGTAAGGACTGAAAGAGTGAAGTGCTTACAAAGTGTGCACATAGTAAGTGCTAAATATTTTAGCTGCCATCATCATCATCATCATAGAATACCTGACACCATCCTAAAAAGACAGTCAGGTGGCCTTTCACGAAGCCAGCTCAGTAGAACTTGGTCACCTTTAATTAAGTCACATTAAATTAGTCACATGCTGAATTTTAGAAGTGGTGCGTAAGGAAAAATAATTGATTTTCTGATCCTTTTTGATCCATAAAAGTGCCATGTAAAGACACATTTTTAAAATATCTTTTTACTTATTACAGTTTGTTGACCAAACAAGGGGAATGGATCAGTAGTGTGAATGAGACCGACTGGATCCAAGTTAAAAATTTATGCCAATTAGAATCTGAAGAGGAGCAAGTTAAAATACCAGCAACTGCTAACACAGTGAGTGGATTATAATTAAAGTTTGGTTGACAGTTTCTTAGTTAACTGAATTTTATTTAGAAAGCAATCCTTAATCTTTCAGAAGAGTCTCTGTAGACTTCTATTAAGAAATCAACTTTTTATTTTTAATATTTGATTATTCCTCATTTACCTATTATTAGCTCTTGGCATAGCTCAAGAAAACATGTGCCCTTTTTTCCTCCAAAGCCTAGAATTACAATGTGGGAGTTAGCTGTTAGCACATGGACTCCCCTGGCTTTGTTGTCAAATATATACAGTGCTACATCAAAATACAAATATATACTTATTTATCAAAACATATCAAAACGTGAAATGCTATTTTTAAGGGTGTTTTGGCATTTTTTGAAGCAGACGTATATGTTTTGTTTTTGTGTTCTGTTCTCTTCTTTTTAAGTTTAACTGAAATTGCTCTGCATTATACCCTGCGCTCTATATAAAGCCAGCTCCTCTTTAATGGGGATCCCTTCAGCCTTCCATTTGAAGACTGTGGTGCTGGTTTCCTTAAACGTTATTTCAGGAAATGTCTTTTTATTTTTATGTAGTCTCAATTTACTAAGATTTTTCTATAACATTAAAAAGAAACATATTAGCATGTTTTCTACAAATATTATAATTTCTTAAGGTGCATTAACATTTGGTTGCATAGTTGAGGGACAGTATGAGACCATGCACTAAGCTCGGAAGACCTCCACCTGACCCAAGGGGGAGGGCTTTGGTGAAGTCCCTGATTCTGCCCCTCCTCTCCCCGGTTTATCTCAGTGGTGGGGGGGGCACCATGAGAGGGGCAAGGGGATGATCTCTGATATCAGTTTCACCCCTCAATTTCTATAATTTTATGCCTTAGCGGCAATTAGCCTAAACTAAAAAAAAAGTTTTAAAATAAAGTAATTGAAATAGGCATTTTAAATAGTGCCCTTGGACTAGTATTATACGTTTTTATATTATTTATGCTTACTGGCCCTGAACTCATCATTCTCACATAAAGAAATGTGACCACCCGCAGCTTCTTTTGTTTGCTGTCATCAGAAAGGTTAGTGGTTTGTCAGTTTTTTGCCTTTCTCTAGAATTGTTTCTTTGGTTTTCTGTAGGAGTCCTTTCTGTTCCAAGTAACATCAGTTTGGTAAAAATTTAACTATTAAGATCTAAGTTTTTGCTTTTGACTTTGTAGAAGAGAGAAAATGAATTACGGGGATAGAAAAAATTTTTTTCAAGTAGGCAAAAAGTGCTAAATGTCAGGTAATTAATAACTCAATCTGTATGTGCACACACAATCTTCATTTTCCTCTCCTCCCATTGTTTTCAACTTATACACAGTCATTAGTTTATTTCTCTATTTTAGGTGGTGTTTGATATTCGAATTAAAGCCATAAAGGAATTAAAATTAATGAAGGAACTAGGTAATCATTTATGTTTGCTTTTGGTTTTTTGGTTCAATTTAATTTTGTTTTGATTTTTAATTGAAAAAATTATGGGAGAGTACAAAAAATGGTTCCGGGAAAATTCATCCACCTACCACCCAAAATGGACAGATGTTCACATTTTATCATGTGTGTTTTTGTTGGAAACATTACAAAGTTCTCTGTGTCCTCTCAGACCCGCTCCCTCCTTCCCCAGTATATGTGATCTGGGTGTTTCTTGTCTATGTATTCATAGTGTACTGTATAGATTTTGTTTTCTTACATATGTATATGTGTTTATTGTATTTTTATATTTTTGTAAGTTCTAGCATACTGAATGTAACATTCTGCAGACACACTATTCACTCAGCATTAGGTTTTTTTAACACCCTTACTAGGGTACAATTTACACACCATCCCACACCTATTTTAAGTGTAATTCAGTGGTTATTAATAAATGTATAGAGTTGTACAGCCATCACTGTAGTCCAGTTTTAGAACATTTCCATCGCTCCAAAAAGATCCATCATTCCTATTTGCATTCCAAGCCCTCAACCACCACTCATCTACTTCCTGTCTCTCTGGACTTGCTTTTCTAGACCTTTCAGGTAAATGGAACCATATAATATGTTGTCTTGTGTGTCTGGCTTCTTTTACTTAGCATTCCATGTTTGAATTCATCCATGATTTAGCATGTATCAATAATTTGTTCCTTTTTATTGCTGAGTAGTATTCCATTGTTTATTCATTCACCAGTGGATTGTTTCCACTTTCTGGCTCCTATGAATGGTGCTGCTATAAACATTTATCTCTGTGTGGATATATGTATTCAGTTCTCTTGGATAGAGATATACAGGATTGGAATTGCTGGGTCAAAAAGAAAATTTGTGTATAACTTTATAAGAAACTGCCATACTGTTTTCCAAAGTGGCTGAACCATCGACCTTCCCACCAGCGTGTGTCCGTGTGTCAGGGTTGCTTCCTCGCATCCTGCCAATGGTTGTAATCGTCTGTATTTTTAATGGTAGCTGTTCCAGTGACTGTGAATCGGCATCATCGCATGTTTGACTGTATTTTCCTCTTGCAATGGTGGTGGGCACTATTGATGTACCTATTGTATATTTGTATACCCTAAGGATTCTATTTGAAAGCTCTAGAATTAATAAGTGAGTTTAATATTTTTGCTGTGAAAAATAAAAAGTAGACCTGAATAAATGGAGCAATGTGCCATGTTCTTGGATCGGAAGACACAATGGTTTTAAGAGGCTAATTCTCTCAAAATTGATTTGTAAATTTAATGCAATCTCACTCAAAATCGTAGCAAGGATTTTTTTTGGGGGGGTGAAAATTTACAAGCTGATTCTTTAATTTATATGGAAATGCAAAGAACCTAAGTATCCATGACAATTTTGGGGAAAAAACAACAGTTGGAAGCGTACCACTGTCTGATTTCAAGACTTACTCTAAGCTATAGTAGTCAAGACTGTGTGTGTGGGCATAAGAGCAGACACACAGAACAAGGGTCAGCAAGCTATGCCCAAGCCTGTTTTTGTACAGCCCGTGAGCTAAGAATAGTTTTTACATTTTTTAAAGGACCGTTTAAAGAAGATGTGCGGGCTGGCCGAGTGGCTCAGTTGGTTAAGAGCTTGCTCAAGAGTGTGAGCTCTGAGCAACAGGGCTGCTGGTTTGATTCCCAGCCTGAGCTGAGCTGCTGCTGAGCTGCCAACAGGCGGCAGGATGGCTCAGCTAAAAAAATAAATGAATAAATAAAAATTTAAAAAATAAAGAAGGTGTGCAGCAGGGATCATAACTGGTGTTTGAAGCCTAAAATATGTTCAGTGGAGCTACGCTGGGAACCCAAAAGTAGGTGCAGATGTATTTATTTAGTCAGTTGACTTTCAACAACAGCACCAAGGCATTTCCATGGGGGGAGAGAGTATATTTTCAACATAAGTGCTGGACCAATTAGATATCTGTAGATGCGGAAGTGAATCTCCAGCTTTGCTTTACATCATGTAAAAAACTAATTCAAAATGGATCATAGGCCTATTTGATCCTATGTTGAAACCTAAAACTTATAAAATTTCTGGGCGAAAACATGAGACAAATCTTTGTTTCTTTTACCATAAGGAAAAGATTTTTTTTGATAGGACTCAAGAAGTAAAAACCGTGAAAAAGTAAACTAATAAATTGGACTACATCAAAATTTGGAGCTTCTATTCTTCAAAAAGCATTTGAAAAGGCAAGCCACAAACTGGGAGAAAAAAACCATGAAACGTATTTGACAGGAGACTTGCATCAGGATATGTAAAAAATACTTATAACCCAATCAGAAGACGAACAACCTACCCCCAACCGGGAGGACACTTTACAGAAGAGGACCCGCCTGTGAGGGACCAGTGTGCAGGGAGGGACGCTCAGCATCTCTCGCCAGCAAACTGAACCATAGTGACCCCACCACAACCCCGTGGACTGTGAAGAATTTAAATGCTCACAAAGCCAGTGGTGGCGAAGAGGTTGAGCAATTGCAACTCCCGTTATTGGTGATGACAACGTGGAATGGTTAGTAGTCACTTTGGTTAAGAGTTAGCCTGTTTCTTATGAATTTAAGCATTCACTTACCAATTCTCCTAGATATTTACCCAAGAAAACTTAAAACATATATCCTTATAAACGCTATACAAAAATGTGCATAACCAAAAACTGGAAACAACCCAGATGCCCGCGAGGAGGCGAATGGATGAACGAATTGGGGAGCACCCCTACCATGGGCTACTGCTCATCAGTAAAAGCAGTGGACCCCCACCACATGCCAAGCATGGGTGAATCTCAAAGACATTGTGCCAAGCAAAAGAAGCTGGATGCACAAGAGTTCACTCTTATTGCTCTATTTATGTCACATTTTTGAAAAAGAAAACCTGAGCTATAGTTACAGAGGCAGATCAGAATTGGGGGGTGGGGAATTGACTGCAAAGTGGCATGAGGGAGTTTTGGGGGGTGATGCAAATTATATCTGGATTTGCTGGTGGTTGCCAAGTGTTTATATCAAACTCTTTGAACTGTACACTTAAACTGGATGTGTTTTAGTACACATAAATTTTACCTCAAAGGTTATTAAAAAGCACTTCGGGGACTAGAAAGATGAATAAAACCATCTCTGCCCTCGAAGCTTCTATGCAGATACTGGGCTAATAACTATAAACCAGGGTGGTAACAGCTTTGGCCCAAGGCACATAATAATTCATGGCAAGTCATTGTAAGCATTGGTTTAATTTACTGTATTACCTGTGTCTTCCTGACAAGCAGGTGTACTGGGAGCGAGCGTTGTGTGCACATTGGTAATTATTCCCAGAACATCAGCAGCGCATCGCTTAGTTTTTACCTTCTGTTTCTTTATCCACATATGACGGTGGGACTTTGGATCTGCTCTAAAGTTGCTTTATTATTCTAATCCCTTTGATGTTTAAGTGCACTTTTTAACTGAACTATTTATTAAGAGATGAGAAAGTATATGATTTATTAAAATGAATAGTCTGTCTTCCTGTGTAACAAGTGTCCTTCCACTTTTGCTCCCCTCCAAACCATTCTTCATCTGGCACGATCTCCTTAAATGTCTGTGAATCAGGTCATGTCATGCGTCTGCTCGGAGCCCTGGAGTGCTTTCCCCTTGCACCCAGGCTGCTTCCTTAACCTAGCAGACCAGAGCCGGCTTCGTCTGACCATGACCTACCTACTCCGCTCTCCTGCCTACTCACAGCTCACTTCTCGTGCCACTCGCTGGGAGTGTCCAGTGCACAAGCTCTCTTCCACCCGAGACTTCTCAGTTCTGGCACCTCTCTGAACTCTCTCCCCTTTCTCTCTTCTAATTTCAGTCATTCGTTTGGTCTCAGCTGAAATTTTACTTCTCCGGTCATCTCTGACCACACAACCTCAGCTAACCTCTCTGCTTTTCTCTCATCATAGCCTGTACTTTTCGTAGTGCTTACGCTGTAACTCGGTGTTTGTGTGATGAATGTCCACCTGCCCCATCAGACGAGGCTCTCTGACCAGAGTCCACGGCTGTTTCAGTTCCTCCTCTGTTGTCAGCTTCTAGTACAATGCCTGGCACATGGAAGATACACAGTGTTGTTGGAATGAGAGTGAAAAGTTTTTAACAAGACAGTATTTAAAATGCATTTTTTAAATTGGAGAATTCTTTTCACAAGCTGATTCAGTTGTCAAGAAATTTGTATTAGAATTATATGATAGCTTCACATTAGTATAAGACACAGGAGTCTCAGAAAGAGGTTCAGCTATGGTCTGATCAAGTTAGAGCTTCTAAGACACATGCCATTCTTACCCCCTCAGAAGGCACCCCACTGCCCAGCCTGCCCACTGCAGTTCCAGCTTTGTATGAATTCTGTTTGGACTAAGCCTGGTGTGTTCCTTCCCACAAAGCAGGAATCTCTACATCCCCCAAAATAGGGCACACTGGCCCTGATCCATTGAATAGGCATAAAAAAATCACCTAACATGTTTTAAATATAGGCAGTCTCTGCACAGTTCCAATACGCACAAATTTTAGTTATCACAGTTCATTATATAACATTGGTTACCCAGCAACATGGTTCAAATTTCAGCTACCGTGGGATTTAACTGAGTAATTGCGTAAAGTACAAGCTTTGCTACTAGCTCCAGTCCCCAGATCACTACATAAATAACAGATGTGCGTCACGTCCAGTTACTTCACTCTTTGAAGTCAGTCAGTCATTGGTCACTGCATATCTGATACTAATTTCACCACACAGATAGCAAAGAGTGTAGTTTGTGATCTCCTTCTCTCCCAGTGGTAAATCCACGTGATATTTTACAAGAATGGGTAATCGAATTGGCCAAAGATGAACGTTCAGCAAAGAAACACAAATATGTGGAGTGATGGAAGAAGTGGCTGGCCATGGGAATGATGACACTGCGATCATTCGAGAGACCAGATATGCCGCTGGAGGAACTTAATGAACATGAACTTACCGACAAAAGTGAGGAAAGTAATTGTGACAAAAAGAATGAAGATATCCCAGGAGAAATGACGCTGGCAAGATCAGAGGAGCTCTTGGAGAGATTTCATGAGATTAAGAGCACAAAATGTAAAACCAGGGCCGGCCGAGTGGCGCGTTGGTTAAGAACTGGCTTGGGATGCCAGAGGGCCCCGGTTCGGATCCCACATATGAGGGCCAGTGACACTGCCCTCCACAGCTAAGATGCTGAACAACAGCTCAACCTGGAGCTGGGCTGCCGTGAGTCACCGGCGACGGTGTAGGCTGCAGCCCCTGCTGCAGTGGGTTGCCATGGGCTACTGTGTGTAGCCAGCAGCCAGCGTGAGTGGCCAGCAGCCACAGTGAGCGGCCGTCCAGAAGCCGGCGACTGATCTGCCTCACCCGGGAAGAGAGCAATGATGGTGCCAACTTAGGCCAGTGAAGCAACGTCCTCCACAACTAGACTGAAGAACAAAACGACAGCAACTTGTCTGTTCCCCTTCCCCCAATTCCTCATCGCTGTTCCATCCCCCAATTCCACAATAAAAATCTTAAAAAAAAATAAAATAAATAAAATAAAATAATTGACAGCTGGTCCAGCTTAGAAGGAGTGGGATGGTTTGCTAGGAAACAGGAAAGATGTTCACTCTGTATTGTAAGCTACACGGTGAGAAGAAGAAAGCAAGCCCTGTTTATTCTTGATACTTTTTTTTTTAAACAAATACTTTTTGTTTTTTACAAAGAAATAAAACATTTTAATTCTCAACGTTTCCAGTATTTTAAATTACAGTGTAAATACAAGCTTTACTATTTTCATTTCACTATGCATGCATAGATGACAGTTTTAAATGTTTGGACACAAATTTTTAAGGTTGTGAACAGCTGCAATTTTCCTCATTGTTACTAAGCTTGCTTTGCACAGTTCCAGCTTCCACAGGCATTCTTACAGCCCTGTACTACTGTGCAAAGTGAATACTGCCTGTACTTGTGTGGTTGTTGGGGGTTTTTGTTTGTTTATTTTGTGTGTTTTTAGCTTATTGTAGCTTCCCGCTAATTAACACAGTAGAGAATCTCTCTCTCGTTTTCCTTGTTTGGTGCACTGACCGGCTTCTTTTTATTTATAGCTGAGAACAGCTGTTTGAGGCCTATCAACAGAGATGGGAGGCTGCTTTGTCCAGGTACATTTGTTTGGTAGCCTTCAAAAGGAGACACATACTCATGCCTTCTCACCCTTTTAACACTTTTGCCTTAAATGATGGCTTCCAACTCCTAATATTCTTAAGTGATGTTTTAGAAGCTGATTTGTAGGACATATTGTCATCCAGGCGTCTTCCTCGTGTGTTACAGAATATCTTTATCAAGAATTCAAACACTTCAGCTTTCTAAAGTGAAACACCTGACTTTCTGATTAGTTAATCCTCATCTTACTCATGGTTTTGATCTAATTATACCTTTCTAGATTGATTGTCCCTTTTTTATTTGTTTTGCTAACTTTATTGAGATACCTGTTATGGAATAGCCTTTGTTCTCACCTCTATAACACATCTTGTCCTTAGACTTAATTTAGTCTCATTATTGATGGAAGTCGCCATAGCAGCTTTAAACCTGGAAGAAGCTAGTCCATTATGAATTGATTCGGAATATCTAACTCTCAATCTTGTGAACAATAGCTTTCTTATTTTTATAAGTATGACTCTTAGAATACTCATAGCTGCCTCTTATTTCTTAGCATTATTGTGCAACTAACAAGAATAATATATTCTATAGTGTAGAAATCAAAAATCAAATGTAACTATTAATATATGTAACACTCCTGCATGGAGTCCAACTTTTTTTCTTTCTTGATATTCTTGATTTTTAAAGAAAGACTGATTTCAGTATATTATTTTGCCCAGACAGGTAAAAATTAATAACACTCATTATGTTATTAAAACTCTTTATAGTGCCAGACAGTTGTACTTTGAAAGAAGCAGAATTGAAGACGGGGAGTTCGTTGGGACTCTGTCCTGGAAAAGCCCCAACTTCCTCTCAGGTAACATGAGGTCGCCTGACAAAACAAAATCTACCTTCCCATAGTCAGAAGTTCTTAACTTTAGAATTCGTACCTTCACTACTGCGGTAATAAATGTTTCTCTTAAAACTTTTCTTTTCCTTAAATAATACCTTTTATTTTCAGAATGCATCCATATAGTTCTCTGTGTTTAAATGAAAATATTATGTCAAAGCATATCCATAAGGTTGTTTTCTGTGAAAATGTTGTGGTTAAGGGAGATCTTTAAAGTTGAGTGGCTACCAGTTTCAACTATTTTCATAAATTCTAAAATGCACCCTTTCCCCCCACATTTTAACATCTGTGATGAGATTGGGCTGCATCTTCCCATCGGTAGCCTCCTGCAGCTGGAGCCGGCACTGTTTTCTGCCTTCATGGTACATTAAATAATGAGTAACAGCCAGGCATTTTAGATGGAATGAAATACAGTATTTTGATTTTGGACCTAATTACTCTCTGCAGTAATATCGCAGTCTCACAGCAGCCTTGTCTTAATCAGTGTTCATTTCCTGTATAAAATATAATACCCCCCGGCCAACCTTTGCCAGAGCCCTACCTGTGCAGTAAACTTCTATCACGGTCCAAAGGTCCTATGCGTGTCCTTACTGTGAAGATGATATCAGAGCAAACTAGGTTCCTCTCAGGATCCCCGTGGTTCCTGGGCCTGCTTCACTAGTTTCTCAGCTACCTCCCCTTCCGTTTGTTCTTCCCCTGAACTCTAGCAAATCGTAGCAAATGACAAGCTGAGAGGAGGGCAGACATGACAAGCACAGTTAGAAAGGAAAATAGGTCTGTGCGGAACGGAGCTGACAAGAAGCCAGATTTACACTGTCCCGTGGGGTCCTGGCAATCGTAGTGCACGGAGTCCCTGGGCAGAAAATAAGAGCACAGCCAAGGCACTCAGAGGGAAGTCACAGCTGATGCTTACTTGTGTGGTAACTGCAAATCCCTAATTGCAGATGCCTTTGAGGAATGCCTAAGAAAGAGATGCAGGTCATAGAAGCACAAGTCATACTTGTGAGAGATGCTTATTAGGAGGGAAAACATGGGTGATGAACGAAGCACCTCACATTTCTAGGTAGTCAAGATTATTGTTTACATTGTAACATTAAATTACCTGACATATTGTTTTTACATAATTGGAAATTTTTGTTAAAGTTTCGTGGACTACTGGCTCTTTTTTTGTGGAAGTAAATAATACATTTATAGAATTTTAAAATTTAGATTAAGTTGCGTTCACACTCTGTCTCCATCTTAGCTGTTCCTGTTTTTTGCTGTGGGGAGTGACCTTCAGCCTGGGACAGAGATGGAGACCATAGTAGAAGAAACAACAACTGTCAGAGATGTAAGTAATTTGGCTTCTGGTGGGGAGTAGGGGGGAGGAAGGGGTGTGTGGGTGTTTGGTATGGGGAACAGTGGCAACCTGTGTTAGAATTTTGAGGGCCTGAGGCTAGGGTTTACACAATATACTTTAAAGAATTCTATGTGCTCATGGAGGACTAGTTTGGTGAACTGAATGGAATTTTAAAAATTAGATTATTAATATTATTTTTTGATTATCAGTAATACTTGCTGGTTGTAGAAATTTGGGATATGTCAAAATGGATTAAGGAACAATGAAAACCCCTCATTATCTCTTATCCTGGTAACATTAACATTCTGGCATATTTCCTTTGTGTTTTTACTTTAGATACACAAATAATTACGCACACAGAGGTATGAATGTTGGCATGTGTGTGTGTGATAAAGCAAACACATAGTTATGTTGGTGTGGCTGAGAACTGGGCCTTTCCATGTTGGAAAATGGAAAGAGAAGAACCCCAGTGTGGGTAAACGAAACCTGTGCTCCTGCAGTTGCAGAGTCCGATGACCTTGATGTATGTTTTTCTTTAAACAAACATTTTTCTAGCTCTTTCCACTGCCAGTAGCTTAGAAACAATGACCAGCCTGATAGCAGGGAGCACCCTGACACCCAGACTGTGGTCGCTAGATACCATTTCCTTGTAGAAGGAAGGAGGGCTTCTTGCAGTAATGGCTGGCTCCGTATCTAGATCCGTAAAGTGTAAGAGGAACCTGGAACCTCTTGTCAGAACAGAAAGCGCTGAAGCCGGGCAAGCCTGCTAGCGTTGGCAGAGATGCCCAGGAGCCAGCTTGGAGGGGCTGCCACTGCTTAAAGAGGGAGCAGTAAGGGAAGGCGATTCGTACGTACACGTAAAACCCATGAGTTCATATGATCCCTCAGAGTATCATGTTCATCGATTACCCACGGTAACTCAGTGGGTGCTTGGGAGCCACAGAGGAAATAATCAAGCGTGTATCCTGTTTTTGTTTTGCAGACTATATATACTGCGGGCAACCAAGTAGATAAAGGTTTTGGGTTTTTTTTTTATAAACATAGCTAATAAAATGAAAAGCATTTTAGACTATCACAGTTTTCTAATTCCAAATGATTTCATGGATCTAGACAATGATCCTGAAAGACTGCTAACACCACCAAAAAAAGCAACACCCAGACATTGTGGAAGCTTGACACAGTACTCATGTTCTTCTTGCCAAAAAAAACCCCCCAAAACCAAACTGAACCCGAGTCTGATCAAGCTCTCGGTGTGAACACCAGTTTATACGAAGTACAGGGGACAGAGGGACGTGTGTCTTGCAGCTCAGGCTGGGGACCTTAGGACACAGCTGTGGGACGAGGTGGCCTGGCAGCTAGACGCGGCTGAAGTGAAGTGGCACACGGGAGCAGCGAGTGGGCTTATGTGGCCCCTGATTCAAAGAAAACATTTTAGTCATAGATAAAGAGAAGGTAGTGAAGTCTGAACACTAACTGGATATTTGCTATTAAGGAATTCCGTTGTTTGAGATGTCATAGTTATTTTAGGGTTATATGTTTTAAAAGAATTGTTATCTTTTAGAGATTCGTACTAAATATGAATAAATGAAGTAATATATCTGACATTTGCTTCAAAAGAATTGGGGGAGTAGGACACGGGGAGCGGGGTCGGGTGCTGCCAAGCGGCTGCCGCGGTAGGTGAGACCGGCTGATGGGTGTGTGAGGGCTGTTTTCCCGTTCTCTGTGTTTGAAATTTTCCATGAGAAAACATTTGCTACACAATTTTTTGGCCATTTGTTACATGCTGTAAATATTTTCAGTTTTTCATTTGCTTTTTAACTTGAGTGTTAACTTTGCAAAGGAGGTGTATCCAATGAGTGTATCCTTCTGTTCTCTCTTGAGCCTGCTGCGGGCAGACTTGTTCCCGGGACCCACTGAGACAGCGCTTCTTGAGGCGTCAGGGGTCCTCGTGCTGCCGCCCAGCGAGCAGCTCTCAGGCTCCACCTTGCTCGCTCTCAGCAGCACTGGACATGCCTGATGACTGTTCTTTGAAACACTTTTGTCACTTGCTTCCAGAAGACCGCAACTCCTCAGGCTTCCTGCTTACCCCTTCTCAGTTTGCCGTGTCCTCTTCTCTGTCCGGGAGCGCTGTGGTGCTCAGTTCTTAGCCTGGACCTCGCCCCAGAGCTCCATCTTACATCCCCTGCCACCTGGTCGTCTGAGCATCTGCCCACATTGTACCACCCAGACGGAGCTCCTGATCTCTCGCAGACACACTCCCTCTCGTTTTATCTTCTTCAGTTATGGCGGCTCCATCTTGCTGCTCACTTAGGCCAAAAACCTTGTGGTCATCCTTGATTCTTTTACTTCTTACTTCACGTCCCGTTTTCCAGGAAATCCTTTTGGTCATACCATCAGGATTGACCTCGGATCTGACCGCATCTCATCCCTGCGCTGCTGTTCCTCTGGCCACCTCTCGTCTGGATTCTTCCAGCAGCTTCCTGATCCTCTCCTTCCCTCCACCCTCGCACCTCCCAGGGTGTGTTCTTATAAAGATGCTGAGTGATCTTTAAGTCAAGACCAGCCCCTGCCCCACTCACGACCCTCAGGGTAAGAGCAGGAGGTACTGGGTGACTCACGTGCCCGGTGTCATCTGGCCTCGGCACGTCTCTTCTAAAATCCTCCGACTCCCCTCCCCTCTTGCTCACTCTGCTCCGGCCGCGCTGGCCCCGGAGCTGAGCCTCCAGCAGGGCTCTACCCCGCTCGTTTCCTGTACCTGGAACACAAGTCCGATGCTCCGCTGTGTGTTATTAAACGACAGAAGCCTTTACGACTGCAGTTTTCTTTGAAGACAGCGCTGGTCCTATTCCCTGTGTTTTAATGTATTGTGCTCTCATTGACATCATTTTCTAAATAACCTTTAATATTGTAAAGTCTTTTTTAGTTTTAATCATGCAATTGTGGATTTTTTTCTTATTTTTTAAACTTCAGGGAGGGACTAAAAATCCCCCTTGGTCACTACCCTGTTCTAGCTCCTTCCCCAGGAGTCACTGTTGTCATCGGTAATATAATTTTTCCAAATCAGTAGAGTGTGTCTCCGCCCAGACCTTTGCCCTGCGTATCCCAACACGTGGGGGTGTCTGTACATATAGAAGAGAAGAGCTTGACTTGTCTGTATTCTTTTAAATCACAAATGGGATCACGCTACATATATTACACTAGAACTCTGTTTCACTTAGAATGTTTTAAAGAACTTTTATGTCAGTTCATATAACTCTGTTTTATCCTTTTAACTGTTTAAAGACTTTGCGTGGTGAATTGAAATGTTCCCGTTAAAGAATGTTCTGTTTGCCCTTTTCTGTTGTTCGAAGCGGTACAGCAGTGAGCAGCTTTCTGCTTGCTCCCTTCTGCTCTAGGATAGCGTCAGTCAAAGACTGTTTACTCTTTTGCCCTAGGTTTATTTAGGAACATTTTTCCTCTCAAGAAGTTGAGAGTTTTTAATTATTTTGTTTTATTTACACTTCTGTTAATCGTGTCTCATTATCATAGTATTTCATGAGATCACAGCTTGCACAGTTCGTGCCTTGGGAGTTTAATGTGTTTCACGGGTGCCAGATAAAGGCTAATCTCCTTTTATAGGAGTCAAAGTTTAATGTATATTTATTAAATCAGCCTAATTAATCATCTCTGGCCAAAAATACACTATTCGCCTTGATAAAGAGAAAGATCTGGCAGTGGATGAACAAAACTTTGAACTGAGCTCTGGGAGCAAACACTGGCAACTGTTTGTTTTTTCCTCCTGGGTTGGCCCCACCTGGCTCTTAGGAATGAGAGGTTGCTTAATCATCTTCTTAACTATGTGTATCATTATGTATTTGAGAATTATTAAATGTAATCAGAGTTAATAGCCCCAGGGTCCAAAAAGGGTGTTTCTCACAACACTGTAACTCAGAAACAGAAAACTAATGAACATAATTTTTTTTTACAGTGTTTAAAGATAATGCTGGAGAAATCTGGCCTACCAGGTAAGTTACAGACCAGGATGGTGTATAATCACACCCATAGCCTTTATTTATAATAAATTATTTATAAGCTTAAAGAAAACTTTTGAAACCTTTTTTTTCCCCGGACTTGTCAATTACACTTTCTATCCAAGAACCATGAATTCTCCGAGTTCTTGTTTGCAAGCTGAAAGAAAACTAATGTAGGTTAGCCTGCTACTGAGGAAAGAGAACTTAGACAGATTCCGACAAAGGCACAAAAGATGGATTCCGTCTGGCATCACGCAGGTTTTTCAGTGATTTTTTTTTTTTAACCTCGTTGATTCAGAATTCCAGTGTCCTGTTTCATGCCAGTATTTTTGTGGTATAGATTAGGGAATGTAGGCTAAATGAAAACCATAACTACAGGTATCTGTAAGGAGCTGCTGGGTGGCCATGTTAGTGAGCTTGATGAGGCAGCACACTGCTTTCATCAGAGCGCTCTGTCCTTCTCAGACTTCATTCAGGTGGAAGCCTGGGGCTCCGCTCTCTGCAGGGGGGTAACGCGCTCTGGGCTGAGGCTCCCTCTGGGCACTAGCAGGCAGTGTGTCATTTCATCTCGACAGTCCTCCCCTGCAGGGATCGTCACCGCTTCCCATTTTACAGATGACAAGACAGAGGCTGAGAACGGCTAAACGGCTTAGCCAGAGTTATGCAGGGAGCAGCTAGGTCTCTGATTCCAGAACCCGAGTTCTTCCCACCACGCTGCACTATGAAGTAATGGTGTTCACCTGTAACTTACTGGTGTTTTTTCTTTTTAGCACCCTTAGATGAAGCTATTGATATAACTCTTAACCGTACTTGAAACTAGAATAATGACAAAAAAGGGTCTGCGAAGAACAGTAATGGAATTCAAAAGCTGTGGCCTCTTCAGAGTAAAGCTGAGGTCTATGCTCATTTCTTTGGCTGTAGTTTCTTTTGGTGGGCAGGGGAGTTCACTGTTTATAAGACATTGCTATTTATTTAAATAACTGGGATGTCCAACTTTTGCTCCACTCAGCTCCCTCTCCTCCTCAAAAAATTCTCTTCCCATTTCATCAGTGTGAAAAGCAGGAATTTAATTGAATAGTATTTATAAATATTCACTGATACCAACTTCATTTCATGCTATTCCCAAAGCACTGTTTTTTGTTAGATTAACTGCTAGTTGGATTGGAACAGTTTTGCTGCATGTACAGTTTTGTTGTAATGTTGCTGAGCAATGTTAGCATGTACTTTCAGCAAAGAAAGTGAAAATGAAACTCAGCTTCACAGTGATTTTGGAAGGAATTCCATATTTATGTGGATATGTACATTATCTATACTCATGTGATGTCTGTGTGTGTATACATGTAAATAATAAAGACATGTACATATTGTATAATAGTAGCAAGTGCTATTTTTATTTGCAAGTATACATTAATTAAAAACAATTATGCATCTGTTCTTGGTGGAATAGAGAGAAAATTAACCAAGTTGGGGGAACAGCTTAATTTTTCTCATGCCCTGGAAGAAATAATTTACTTTAAAAATTAGTTAATTATTATTAGATCAAATCCCATTTGATACTCATTTACCCAGAGGGTCATTTCTGAAAACTCTTCAAATATATTATTCTGAATTTTTTTTCCATCCTGATTTTGATTCCTTCATAGGAGACACGTGGCATTTACGAAAAATGGATTGGTGCTATGAGGCTGGGGAGCCTTTATGTGAAGTAAGATTATTTCTTTACATTTTACTCTTAAAGTGATTGTCTTTATTTGGTATTTTCATATAGGATACCCAGCCCCCTCATGTGAATAGATTCTAGAGAAAGCTTTATAATTTTTTTAGGATAACAGCAATCTGTATACATAGGTCTACTTTCACTTTTTCCTTCCTGTAGCTTTTTGATAGAGTCAGAGGGAAAGTCTCAGCTGAGTGGGAATGTTTTCACATCAGTGTTAAGTCCTCTTTGATAAGATAGTGTGTTCCTAAGAATACTAGCTCTCCATCAGGAGGAGAGAACTTCACAGAACAGAAGACAGTTGAACTAAAGAAAGGATTTGAAGATACACGCTGAATTTTGAAACCTGAATATTTTAATCTCAGAGTTTCTCTGTAAGTTGATGGCAGAATTCATCTTACCAACCAGTCACTTAGGCTCTGACCTCAACTACATCTCTAGATCCAGCCAAAGTCTTGGAGTAGCCTTAGGAATAATTTTATCATAGGCTAGATGGGGTCTGGTTACTCTTATTAGTGACCCACGCAGCATCAAACCTCCTGTCCAAATGCATGGCCTTAGAAGTGGACCCAAAATGAAGCTTTGTGAGCAAGTTCAGACCATCGCGGTCACCCGCCCTTTCCCCCGTCTATCTGCCTGCTTTCTTTTCAGAAGTAGACAGTGGCACTGAACAGCATCAGGGGTTGGTTTAAGCAGGTGTGCTGGGGCCATCCCTGGGGCACTCCGCTGTATGGCAGTCAGTAACGGTGCAGAGAGGGCCCTCCTGAGTCTCGCCAGGAATTGGACTGCTCAGAGAGGGTGGACCCAAAGCATTTTCAGGACATACAGTTTGGATGTCAGAAGAGCTATCTAGTCAGATGGTTTCCGTATTTTCTTCTCTATTCCCAAATTGGCATCAAACAATTCTAAAATTGTTTAGAGCAAACTCACGACGCTCAAAACTGGCTCCTCTTCCTGATATGCTGTCTTTCCCACCCTGGTCTTTTCAGCCTGAAATGTGCTTCCTGCCTCCCTGCCATCCTTCAGACTCGGTCTCAGCCTTCAGAGGCCTGGCCGTGTGTCCCCTCCTTCCTGACCATTGCCTGTCCTGGCCGCCTGGCTACCTGAATTACTACAGTCGGCTTCCCTGAGCCCAAGTGTCCCCCGCTTCAGCACGTCACCTATGTAGCAGCCAGACTGATTTTAAAAACACCTTCTCAGAAGTCTTGAGTTGCTTTTTACAAAGCAGCTGAAAACTTCTTTTCTAGTCCACGTTCCTTCAGTCAGTGACCACCTTCCAGTCCAGTGTTTTCCCTGTTACTCTCCAGCTGACACTTCCCACTCGAGCCAGTCTGGTCTCTTAGCTCTTCCGCAAAATAGCCCACTTATTCCTGACTTAACCCTGACTTTGCTCTGTTCCCCTTTTCATGTGGAATCCCTTCTCTCCGCGTTTCCTCCAGTGTTCCAAAGCCAACCCATCTTTTTAGGCTTAACTAACCATTCATCTTCTGTAAATCAGTGTCTCATCATTTTTCATCTCATCCCTCTTTTGTTCCTCTAATCTTTTATGATACGGTTCATACCCCATAATTTAATAGATAATAATACTCTTCTATAGTCTTAGCTTATTTCCTTCTTCAACATCTGCTTTATTCATTAGTTAGTTCTTGAAAGGGTTTAAAAAAAAAAAGATCCAACTTGCAGAAGTCATAAGTGACAAAACAGAATTTCTGTATTCCCAGGACGCAACTCTGAAAGAGCTTACGGTGTGCTCCGGAGATACTTTGCTTTTAATTGAAGGAAAACTTCCTCCTCCGGTAAGATTTTGCTTCTAAACAGGCATTTTGTAAATAACAGTTACTGTCGTGATTACAAAGGTGATACATGCTCACGGGGGGGAAGTAAGGCAGTGCAGTCATGAAGAGAGTCAAGAACTTACCCAAAAGCCTGCCAGAGAGACCGCCAGCGCATGTCACATCCTTATGGATATCCTTCCTATAAAATCCATCATCTGTACACTTTTATTTTCTACTTTTTGTATTTAATTTTTTAGCCTGACCATACAATCCAAAAACAATCATTATACCCAATGTATGACTTATCACAGTTTATATTACTTTGTCCCCATTGCTGGAAATTTAGCTCGTTTTAATTTTTTTTTTCTCATGATAGTACTTCAATATAAATCCTTAAGGTAGTTCTAAAGATGGAATTAACAAGTCAAAAGGTATGAACTTTTTAAAGACTTGATGGTATATGTTGCCAGATGGTCTTCCCAAAGAGCTGTACGAAATTTGCGGTCCTGTCAGCAGTGATTGAGAGGGCTCATTTCCCCGCTCTTCCGTATACTCTGCATAGTACGATTTTTAAAACTATTATTTATTAGGTTTTTTTTAATGTGGACACATGTAAAGATAAAAAAAAACCAAAATGACCCAAAATTCCAGCTCTCAGATAACGTTTGCTTATAATTAGAAAATCAAACAGCGTTGAAGGCTATAAAATGAAAAACAAGCTTCTCTCACGTCTTTCTCCCCCAGAAAGAGCCACGATTAACTTATTTCTCCTTGGATTCCCTTCCAAGAGAAGAACTTGTGCCCGTCTGTGCTGAATGTAGATACACGCGTAGCCTTTTTGAAGTTTCCGTAAAGGGGATCATACTCCACACGTCGTTTTCTGCCTGATGATGATACCTGTTTTTAGTCACCTAATATACCTTGAGGATCTCCTCACAGCAGCACATACAGACCTACCTTATTGATTTCATAATTTCATAGAATTCCGTTGTATTTTATGTCATGCACTTTAAAGTTAATTTTGAACTGGTAATACTCATGGTACAAAATTCAAAGTATATAACAAGCGGGGCCAGGAAAAGTAAGTGTCCCTTCTGTCCCCCAGCCACTCACTGTCCTGCCTCGTCAGGCAGCCAGGCTCTCTGTCCCCATGGACATATGTGTGTTTAACGTGCATACACGCATGTGTGAATATACACAGCACATATATACACATTCATATATACACACATGTCTTTTTGTTTCTACAAAAGATATGCTGGACTCCGTAGTGTGTACCTCGCTTCTTTCATTGGTATTTTACCTGCCTGTACATGCTGTGTCAGTACACAGAAAGCTACCTCATTCTGTTTGACGGCTATATGATATTCCCTTGTATGGAGGTACCATAATTTATTTAACCGCTCTCTGTTCCAAGAAGATTTGGGTTGTTTTCAGTCTTTTGTTGATACAACTAACACTACAAAAAATATCTTGACTGTGCCATTTTACATACAGAATAAATTCCTAGGCCTACTAACACATTGTGCTACCATGAGCAATTTGCAGTGAATATCCTTGCATCTGTGGCTTTGTATGCAGGCACTAGTATTATATATCAGAAGGTAGATTCCTAACCGTGGAATGGCTGGGTCACAGTGTGACCCAGAACTTTGCAGCAGTTTATACTCCTGCCACCAATTTATGAGAGTGTTTACCCATAGTTTCACCAACATACAGAATATTATTAGACTTTCTGGTTTTGGGCAGTCTGGTAGGTGAGAAAAATGGAATTTTGTTGTTCTCATTTACATTTAGTTATTTAATTGAATAGAGATTGTGTATTTGTTAATCTTTGCCTATTCAATAAACAGAAAAGTATTCTCATTTTAATATGTATTTCTTGAAGTATATATTTAAAATATTTTATTATTTTTTTTTTTTACATTTTCATCTTCTATTGGAAATTGAGCACTGTAACATCTTTTATACGTAATAAATCTATTAAAGTTCTTTCCTAACTACAAAAAAAGGGGGTGGACAAGAACCAGTAAGATTTGTAAAACTGAAATTAGAGGATATGTTTAAGGAAAGATGTTTATTTATTTCATATAGTTTGTACAGGAATCCAACCTATAGTAATAGGTTGTTGGTTTTCTATAAATAAAGTTCCTCTAGGAACTTTAATAAATGAAATGGCTTGGAACTGGTGCCTTGTGCTAGTGGTGCTCTCACAGTGCCTGAAATATTTATGTAGTTTGTCCTGTGGAATATTTTGTTATTTTGTTTATACTTTTCCTTTATTGTAGCTACTAAGATACTTCTAAGCAAAAAACAGGTAGTTCTAGTCATTCCAGTGTCAGATTTTTATGACTTAAACTTTTAATTGTATAAACAATTAACAAGTGTAATAGATGGCAGTTATATCTACTAGGAAAAATAATAAATTCAGGAACATGTCTGCTGCCAAGATGTTCCTCCTGTGAGAGCAGGAGTGGGAGTCCGCTTCATCTGTGCACATCACAGCAGTGAGAGATGCTCTGTTCTCCAGGGCTTCCTGAAGGTGCCCATCTGGTGGTACCAGCCTTGCGCTCCTGCGCGTCAGTGGAGGAGTCACCAGGACCAGATGAACTGTCCCCCCTCTCAAGGTGGGGCCTGGGAAGCCACTGCCGCCCAAGGTGAGAACACAGCGCATCTCGCAGCCAGCGCACCTTAAAGAAAAGTCAGCGCTGCTTCTGTTCTGAGAGGCACCTGAAGTACTTACTTTTAAAAATGTAAGGTTGAAAATCAAAACCTATTTATTCCCTAAGTCATTGCATAACAAACACCTTCCTATGTTTTATAGTGCTTGGGAATCTCTCTAAGATACAATCTGTCATTTTTATATCCTATCACTATATTCAAGTTTCCCAAGTATCTCACCTCGAGATCCTCATGGCAGTGTGAAGAGCAGCCTCATCGATTATCACCAACTAGGCGATGAGGCGTCAGTCACTCACGGTGACCTCACTGCAGTCCCCACGGCTGGGAGGCGGGGCTGGAGTCCGTGTCTCCCCGCTTCACCCCCTGCTCTTTCTGTCACGGGTCCCCAGGGACTTCAGGGGTGGTCCACCTTGGCCCACTGACTTCTGGGAAGGAGCAGCGAGTATAATCATCCTGTTTTACTTGTAAGCGGCTTCTCCACAGACAAAATGCAGCACACATCATGATGAGCCAGAAGTTCCCATCAGCGAGTTTGAATTGCCATTGGGAAAAGGAGATTTCTACTGCATTGGGTTATACTACTCAATAGATATGCTAACTAATTCTAAAGATGTTTTGGTAATAGGATAATAATTACATATAGGGTTGGCTAAGACTTAAAAAGCATGTTTAATCAGTGTGTTTCTCCATGAAAGTGAAGAAACAGGCTCATTTTTTGGTGGCCCTTCTTTATCACAACATATGGGAAACATTTTTAATTCCTGGGAGTTTCTTAAGTGTCTCATAGCTTGTGGTGTCCTTAAGGTACAAAAAGAACCACTCATGAAGCCTTTTCACTTAATTTATTTATAATTAGTCTTTATTATGTATCAGCAGTGTGCCTGGCAATAAACAAAGACTTAATTAAAGCAAAAATTAGTGAAATTATTCTGAATTCTAAATATAGTTGCCCTCTTTTATATCCAGAAATTTAGATGAGAGAGCATGTTGTTTCTCCCCTTTTTAAAACAAATGTAGAAAGGCCTTATTGTCAGGGGTTCTTTCAGTCAATAAACATTTACTGTGTGACATCCACCAAACCAGGGACTGGATAGACAAATCACTATGGCCTGCCCTCCCTTGAAAATCATATTCTTCTGGGAGACAGATTGGGGGAGTGGTGGGGAAATACATACATATATATATATATATATATATACACACACACACACACACACACACACACACACACACACACACACATATTATATCTCCAAGAAAAAAACAGACAAAAGAGAAACAGGTTGGCAAAGTGTTATGAAAGAAAGAAACAGGAAGCTACTATAAGAATAAGGGCAGGGTATCCTACCATCAGAGTCCTCGTTAAGGAAGGAGAGAGTGTGAAAAGAATGTTCTAGGCAGACAGCACAAGCGCAGAAGCCCTCCAGCCCATTGCAGTGAGAAGCCCTGACGCTGTGCCAGCAGCTGCCCCAGCTGCCGGTGGACGACGCTGGCCTCCCTCCCCTCCAGGGGCAGGAGGCGCGAGTTCAGGAACCCAGGTTCCACATTTTTTGAGTGGAATTGTACTAAAGCTATTTACAACATCAAAATGCCGCATGTATTTTAGAAACATGAGAAATGCATTGGAAGCTCCTTTCAGACATCCGGCTCTGTCCTTCGTAGGTGCTGCTGGCGACACACATGCAGAAGTGCCCCTCCGCTACGCGGGAGACGTCGAAATCTCAGAGGACGCCACCTTGATGGAGCTGAAGTCTCAGGTCAGACTTGTACCTGCTGCATACCTTAGTGGTGACCTGGCTCCTTCCCGTGAGATATTAATATATTCTTCTATTTCCTTTTCCCTCAATTACAGTCTGTTCTGATAGGGCATGTGTTATATGCCATGTTCGGTGGTAAGTACCCACAGGCGACACACACACAGGCTCAGACAGCCGCTGGCGTCCTTGTCTGCCAGCCACCTTGCGGCTTTCGTTTCTCCCCCTCCGACAGGCACGCTGTGCGTTCATTTGAATGTAGCCTCAGGGACTCGCAGCCTGTTTCTTATTTTTTAGGTAAACGTGATTTAGTGAAACGTGTGTTACCCCTTTATTTACATTGTTTCTGTATCCTTGTGATCCATGTGTTAAATGTTGTTAGTTAAAAGATGTGTTACCAGTTTCCCAGGAGGTCAGAATATCAGCTTTGTGTTAGGATGTTAGACTAGGTATTAAACTGTTTTCTCAGGCTATAACATTGGTAGAGAAGGCGTGTTTTGTCCAAATGGGAAGGCCAGATTGAAAACAACTAAATGCTTAGGAAGCATCTATTATTGCTGGACTGACATGAACACCCCTTCTTCCTCTAAAACCTGGGGCAGATAATGTGAATGTCAGTTACTGATCTCTGACCAGTGTGTCCTCAGCATATGAGGTGACCGTCCTCAGAAAAAGCAGGCAGTCTTATTCTCATAGGGGCCAGTGGGAAGGGACTTTTTTTTTCTTCTATTGGATTGAAAGATACAAAATTGGCTGTTTTTAGGTAAAAAATGGATGAATATTGGCCATTTTATGTACTATAGCATAAATATATAAATAGTTAACTACTCCTACATAAATTAGTACAGCAGTTTGGTCCTAGCAGCTGGATCCAAAGATTGTGAAATATTCAAAATCAAAAGTTATTTCCTTGGCAGAGCAAATGTTGTCCAATTACTGATGATAGTTGAAAACGAGTCCCTTGATTTTATTAGGGTGACCTCCACTCTCATGAGTTATACTCCCATAGAAATTAGTTTTAAAGTTTCATTTTCTAAGACATAATGATTAAAACAGAGCTTTTAGCTCAGATTTAGAAATCAAAACTCACTTCGCTCTCCAGTTGATTTCAGTAGAGAGGAATAAAAAATTACTCATGATTAACTTCATGTAAGAGCTACTCCTGCTTTTTTATAGAGACCATCATTCAGGGTACTCTTCCCTAAGATGGCGTTGTGTAGTGCTTCATTTATTTCCTAGAGCAAGGTATTTTTAAGAGTGCTTTTTCAAACCCTTGGACAAACGTCTGTTTCTTTTCTAGGCCATGACCTTGCCGTCCTTCTCAGAGTTTTCCATCCCCTCCCCAGCCTTCCTCAGAGCCTGGACAGTGGAAAGCAAGCGCCCCGGCAGGCTTCTCCGAGTCAGCCAGCAGCAGCTCAGGTAGGGTTCGCATCGAGCACTCAGTGACAGAAAACCCGTTCCTGGTAACTCCACATCTGGCAGCTGGATGATGCTTTTTATCCTAAATCAAACTCTGGGACAACTTTAGTTTTCCATATCAAGTATAAAATGTAGCTTCATGTGTTTTTTTTTTTTAATTGGGGAACAGTGTGTTTTTCCAGGACCCATCAGCTCCAAGTCAAGTAGTTGTTTCAATCTAGTTGTGGAGGGCACAGCTCCTTGGCCCATGTGGGAATCGGAACTGGCAACCTTGGTGTTATGAGCACTGCGTTTTAACCACCTGAGCCAACTGGCCACCCCAGCTTCATGTATTTTTACTGTGCTCCAGAGACTGAACAAAATTTTGAGTGTTTTTTTCCTCTAGCTTTATTGAGGTATAACTAACGGATAGAACATTGTATGAGTTCAAGGCATACAGCCTGTTGATTTGATACACTTACATATGGCCAAATGATGACCACCGTAGCATTAGCTAACACGTAATTACCATTCCTTTTTCATGGTGACAGCATTTACGATCCACTGTCTTAGCAACTTCCAAGTATGTAACCCAGTATTATCAGCTATAATCTCCATGCTGTACATTAGATCGCAGACCTTATTTGTCAACTGCAAATTTGTACCCTTTGACTGACATCTCCCCTTTCCCCCGTCACCAGCCCCTGGTAACCACCATTCTGGTCTCTGTTGCCATGAGTTTGGCTTTTTTAGATAATACATACAAGTAAATATCATACAGTATTTGTCTTTCTCTGTCTGACTTAATCTAATCATAATGCCCTCAAGGTCCATCCATGTTGTTGCAAAACTGCAGGATGTCCTTTTTTATGTCTCAGTAATATCCTGTGAGTGTGTGTGTGTGTGTGTGTGTGTGTGTGTGTACACACCACGTCTTTATCCATTCATTGTTTGTTGCCAGACACTTAGGGTGTTTCCGTATCTTGGCTGTTAGGAATAACGCTGCAATAAACATAGGGGTGCAGGTGTTTCTTTGATATCCTGTTTTCATTTCCTTCAGATAAATAGCCAGGAGTGGGCTTGCTGGATCATAAGGTCACTTTATTCTTAATTTTCTGAGGAACCTCCATACTGTTTTCCGTAGTGGCTGCACCAATTTGCAGTCCCACCAACAATGCACCAGGGTTCCCTTTTCTCCACATCCTCACCAACACTTATCTCTGGTCTTTTTGATGATCACCATTCTAACAGGTGTGAGTGATACCTCTTTGTGGTTTTGATTTGCATTTCTCTGTTGATTAGTGATGTTGAGCACCTTTTCATGTACTTGTTGGCCATTTGTATATCTTCTTTTGAAAAATGTCTATTCTTTTCCTCGGTCCATTTTTTAATCAGATTGCTTTTGCTGTTGAGTTGCATGAGTTTTTTTGTGGGTTTTTTTTTAATTTTTTTTTATTGAGGAATTGGGAGAGGGGAACAGTATTGGGGAATTGGGGGAAGGGGAACAGACAAGTTGCTGTTGTTTTGTTCTTCAGTCTACTTGTGGAGGATGTCGCTTCACTGGCCCATGTTGGTATTATCATTGCGCTCTTCCCGGGTGAGGCAGATCAGTCACCGGCCTCTGGACGGCCGCTCACGTTGGCTGCCAGCCACTCACGGTAGCTCATGGCAGCCCCACTGCAGCCTGTGCCTTCACCGGCGACTCATGGCAGCCCAATTCCAGGTCGAGCTGTTGTTCACCATCTTAGCTGTAGAGAGGGCAGTGTCACTGGCCCTCAATGTGGCATCCGAACTGGAGCCCTGCTGCTCAGAGCTGGCGCTTCCAAGCCAACTCCTAACCAACACACCACTTGGCCAGCCCATATGAGTTCTTTATATACTTTAGGTATTAACCCCTTATCAGATATATGATTTGTAAATATTTTCTCTCATTTCATACATTGCCTTTTCATTTTGTTGATGGTTTCCTTTGCTGTGCAGAAGCTTTTTAATTTGATGTAGTCCTACTTGTTTATTTTCACTTTTGTTGACTTTGCTCTTGGTGTCACATCCAAAAAATCATTGCCAAGACCAGTGTCAAGGAGCTTAGGAACTTAGCGTTCCCCGCCACCCCATGTTTTCTTCTAGTTGTACTGTTTCAGATCTTATGTTCAAGTCTTTACTCCATGTTGAGTGATTTTGGTGTATGGTGGTCAGAGTGGTCCCATTTTGTGCTTTTGCACAAGGCTGCCCATTTTCCCAATGCCATGTACTGAAGAGACTGTTCTTTCCCCATTGTACACGCTTGGTGCCTTTGTTGTAAGTTAATTGACCATATGTGCATGGGTTTATTTCTGGGATCTCCATTGTGTTCCGTTGACTTACGTGTCTGTTTTTATGTCAATACAATACTGTTTTGATTACTATAGCTTTGTTATCTAGTTTGAAATCGGGGCACAGGATGCCTCTAGCTTTGTTCTTTCTTAAGATTGCTTTGGCTATTCAGGGTCTTTTTGTGGCTCCATACAAATTTTAGAATTGGTTTTCCTATTTCTGTGAAAAATAGGGATTGCATTGAAATGGGGACAGCATTGAACCTGTAGATTGCTTTGGGTAGTATGAACATTTAACAGTCGTATTCCAGTCCATGAACACAGAATATCGTTCCCTTTATGTTTGTGTCTTGGTCAGTGTCTTTCACCAATGTGTACAGATCGTTCATCTCTGGTTACATTTATTCCTAAGTTAAATTTGTTCTTTCTGATGCCATTTTTGTTTTCTTACTTTCTCTTTCTTATAGTTTGTTGTTAGTGTATAAAATGCAGCTGATTTTTGTATTGATTTTGTATCCTACAACTTTACTGAATTCATTTATTAGTTTTAATAGTGTTATTTTGGTGGCATCTTTGAGGTTTTCTAAATGTAATATCATGACATCTGCAAATAGAGACCGTTGTTCATCCTTTCTGATGCGGTGCCTTTTCTTTCTCTTGCCTAATTGCTCTGACTAGGATTTCCAGTGCTCCTGATAGGAGTGGGCACCCTGTCTTGTTCCTGATCTTAGAGGAAAAGCTTTCAGGTTTTCACCGCTGAGGCTGATGTGAGCTGTGGGCTTGTCATATATGGCTTTTATCATGCTGCGGTACCTTCCCTCTATACCCAGTTTGCTGAGTTTTTAACCTGAAAAGATGTTGTATTTTGTCAGATGCTTTTTCTGCATCTGTTGAGGTGATCATATGATTTTTATCCTTCACTGTTAATGTGGTGTCACACTAATTGGTTTGCAGATGTCGAAGCATCCTTGCATCCCTGGCGTAAATCCCACTTGATCGTGGTGTGTGATCCTTTTAATGTGCTGTTGAATTCAGCTTGCTGATGTTTTGTGGAGGATTTTTGCTCATCAAGAATATTGGCCTGTAATTTTCTTTTCTCATAATGTCCTTGTCTGGTTTTTGACATCATGCTAGCCTCATAAAATAAGCTTGGAAGGATTCCTGCCTCTTTTATTTTTGGAAGAGTTACAGGATTGCTGTTAATTCTTTTTTAAATGTTTGGTAGAATTCATCAGTGAAAGCAATGTGGTCCTAGACTTTTCTTTGTGTTTACCAAAAGAAAGGATGATACAATGGGAGAAAAAGAATAGCTGGAGGAACAAGAACTCAGGAAGAGTGAAGCCTGGTGAGTTAGGAGATGAGAGTGAAGGAGAGATTGCGCTCAAGGGGGGTTTTGATTTCTGATTCAGTCTCCTTACTAACAATTGGTCTGTTCAGGTTTTTTATTTCTTCATGACTCAGCCTTGGTACATTGCATGTTTCTAGGAATTTATCCATTTCTTCTGAGTTGTCCAGTTTGTTGGAGTATAATTGTTCATAGTAGTCTCTTAAATTTTGATTCTTCTTATGTAATATATTTCGCTTAAGAAGAAAGCTTAAAATTGGCAAAAATGTTTTTAAAAATTAATGTCACTCAGTATTATTTTGTTTCATTTATTATCAGGGACTATAAACTGGGAAGGAGAACTGAGATCTGCTTAGAGCCCCTTCAGAAAGAAGAAAACTTAGGGTAAGACATCCTATTACACATACAAAATCACACACACATCTTATGGATGGTTTCTTAAAAATCTAACAACTTAATAGTAGAGGTTTTCCTCACTGCTTCTAAGTAATCTGGCAACTAAAAACAGATCGTGTTCTAGAAATGTGTTTATATGTTAAGATATCTAGAACTTGAAACTCATTTTTCCATAAAACAATGAGAATTGGTTTTTCAGTAAGTTGCAAATGCGTATTGAACCCATAATGCTCTTGTGGAAGCAGGATGCACGTATCCAGGTCGTACATCAAACCGATTGTAGAGCACCTATCACTCTGCCCCTGATTCTACCTTTTTCATCCTAATATCATAAGCTGACATATTATATACTTACTGAATTATCTGTTATTATCTGTCTCCCACTACTAGGATGTAAACTTTGTGAGAGCAAGTACATTTTTTTTGGTCATGGCTGTATCCCCAATACCTGGAGCAGTTCCTTGGTCATAGTAATTATTCATTGAATTAAGAAGCACCCCAGAGCTGTCAACAATCAAACTTTCCTATTATTTTTTCACTATAGGAAAATCTTTAAAGATTTTTTTTTTTTGGTTAGTGTCACCAAGTATTAAGATTCTTAAGATTCCTTCTACCTGATATGATGTGATTATCATTCTTGTTCTTATCGTATAATAACTCTAATGTCACTCTTTCAACCATGTCTAACCTTAATTGAATGTCACTGTTTTGTAAAAATGAACTCTAAATTGTATTACCAGGAGTAGTTTCCTGGAGGGGAATTTCTGAATCAAATGGTATGGATACTTTAAACCTTTTAAAATAAATTGTTAAATTCCTCTCCAGGTAAATTAGACCAATTTATGTTCCCACAAGCAGTGTTTCTGAGTATTTCCTTCACCTCACCCTCAAACCAAACATTAAGTATCATCATTGTTTAAATGTTTGCTAAGTTGATAAATGAAAAATGGTTATTTTGTCTCATTTGCTTCTGCTTTGATTGCTATGAAGACTGGGCACTTTTTTCAAAGGCTTTAAGCCACTTGTATTTTGTAAGCATCTGAACTAATTCATATATTTTGCCTGTTTTTCATGGGGTCTAATTTGTGTGAGCTCTTTCTGTGATAATGACGTTGACCCTTTGCCATGTTTGTTTTAAGCGGCAGCGTCTTTTTTAACTAAGCAGTGTCCCTTTGAAGCTTAGACCCCCTTCCCCATGGCTCTTCTGTCCCAGACCACCCTCCAGGGCTCCTGTGCCCCCGTCAGTGAGGCCTCAGGGTCCCCATCGTCCTCGTCCCCTCAGCCTCTGCTCAGGGTCTACACTGTCTACACCCTGGCCTGACCCCGCTTGGCTCACTCACTGCCGCCAACACCTACAGCCCAGGGAGAGGTTCAGTCTCCCTAATGCCTCCTTGACCACAGTCTCCCCCTTTCAGTCTCACCTCCCAACCTAGCAGGCTGCCCTCCCCCCGAGTTCTCTGCTTCTTCCCATTGCATCACCCTTTCTTTTGGTAAAAACACCAACATAAGAGGACCACATCGTTAAAACCCCGCATTGTCTCACCACCCTGAAAACCAAACAGTGGTCGTTTCTCCCCTGTGCCTTCCAGTTCTGGCCTGTTGTTATTACTTCCTGTCCTAACCCCTCTCGGTGCTGCTTCTCCCGCCGCTCTGAACATTTCTCTTCTTTCTCTTCCTCCAGGGACCTCTCGTCCCTGCTCGTCTGTCACCTGTCTCCTCTCTCTCCCAGCTTGAAGCCCTTGGGTTTTTTCCCTGGCTACCCCACAGCAACTCAAACTTTTAGCACATAAAATAGCTTTTTTCCAGCCAGCTTCTGCAGTCAGCATGGAGTCAGGCTGCCCCATTTCAGCCCCGCCCGCCCCTGGCCCTCCCCGCTCCATGCCCCACGAAGGAAATGCCCACCCGCTTCAGTGTTGCCCACTGCCCACCCCAGAGGACTCTGCCGTGGGCTCACGGTGGTGGCTTCCCCTCCATTCTGGGTCAGGATTGAAGGAAATGGAATGAAAGAGGGTTTCCCACTAGCACTGGGGGAGTGTCTCCTTACAAAACCGAGACGAGTTGGTGGGGAAGCCTTCACGCATGACAACCCTCCCTACCCTCCCAGTTAGCGCATATTTCTCATTTGGTTTCAATCTGACGTTGGACTGTTTTCTGGTGCAGCCCCCAGGACGTGCTGCTGAGGACACAGATGCGCCTCCCTGGCACGAGGGCGTACGGGCCGCCCGTGGACGTGGTGTGGGACACGGCCCGAGGCTGGACTGCCGCCTCCCTGAGGAGGCGCATTGCTGACTTCTGGTGCCTTCCAGCTGAGAAGACTGAAATTGCCAAATATTTCCCTGAGAAGTTTGAGTGGCTTCCAGTAGCGAGCTGGGTAACGTGGGGCTTTCTCAGAATTGGGCCTTCCCAGCAGTGCGTAGGTTAACTGCGATTTTTCACAAATAGGGAATGAAGTTAAGAATTTGAGGGTGGGTTTTCTTTATTCAAGATGCTTGATTTTTCTGTAGAGCCAGCAACTTACCAAGAGGAAAAAGAAGAAAAAGCAAGATAATTTGCAGGGGGCGCCTTATTACTTGAAAGATGGAGATACTGTCGGCATTAAGGTAAGTTGTTTCACGGCAAACTCACCACTTGGACAAAACAGCAGGAGCGGATGATTTTGTAGAGAAGTTTTACAACACTTCAAGGCACAGATAAGCCCATTTTGTATAGACTGGTTCAGAGAATGGAAAATACAGAGGGAAAGCCAGACAGCTCATTTTTATGAGGCCAGTAGAACCGCAGTAGAAAAACCTTAATTTGGGGTCTGACTTGAACAGAAATGCTTTTGAAGTGTTATCACTAAGTGTGTTGCTATAGGTTTTGAGTAGGTAGCTGGGTCAGGGTAAGACGCTCCCTTCCTAGTTTGCTCTGAGTTCTTTTGTGTAAATCACAAACACTGGATTTTTAATGTAAAATGTTATCCTGTGCTTTCTGCATCTGTTGATTGAGCCATGTGATTTCTCTTCTTTCATCTGGTCGTGTGGTGCTATTACATAAGTAAGTCCTTGACACTGAGCCATCCTTGCATTCCTGAACAAACCTACTTTGTCGTCATGTAATAATTTTAACGTTAATTTTAATGCTTGATTTAAGAATTATTAATTTATTGATAATTATTGATTTAATTTAATCCTTGATTTAAAAATTAATATTTTGTATTAAGGAGTAAGTTTTCTTTTAATCACCACTTCTAGTCAACGTTGTACTAGACAATTTACCCTCCTCTCCCCAAAGAAAAGTTAAGGAACAAAAATTGAAAGAGGTAAAAAACTCTAAAAGGAAAATATAAAACAGTTTCTATGTGCAATTTTTCGACAAAGGAGATTCAAGAGACTGTACAGATAAACTATTAGATGTATTAAGAGAGTTCAAAAGATTATAAGATCAATATACATAAAACTACAAGGTACCGTTCATCCAACAAAGAGATTGCTAAGGCCTTTCTGGAGAATGTTATAAACAATTTTGAGTGGTATTAAAGCTTCAGTTGGATACAGAGCTATATCGTGTCCTTGGAAGGGACCGTCACAGTAGTCATGGTATCAGTTCTTCCCACATTGTAAGTTCAGTGTCATCCCAGTGAAAAACCGTGTAGATTAAAAAGAATAAACTCATTTGGAAGAGCAAAGGGCCAGAGAACTAAGGTATTTTTAGAGTGAGGTCAGGGCACTTGCCTTAAGTATCCTGGGGGCAGGGGTAGAGGGATGGAGAGCCCAAGACAGAATCAGATTCCTTATTCATATAGGAAAAATGCAGTTATAATTTTGGTTTTGTTTTTATAAAGAATCCTCAAATTTATGTAACGCATCAGGCCCACAGAATCTGTAGCCACCTGTGCCCACACCACATACAATACGCAGCGTGAAGACTTACCTGAGAAAAGCAGTGGTTTTCGACCTTCGGAAGGAAGGATATAAGAAAATCTTTGACTTAGGTTAAGAACTTTCTTAAAATAAGAAACAAAATGAACAAAGCATAAACAAAAGGATTGATAAATTTGACTACACTAAAAGGAAAACTTGTTCACCAAGGAAACCATAAAAAGCAAAAAAAGCCACAAACAGGAAAAGACAGATGCAACAATATAATTAACAAGGATTATTACCCAGACTATGGAAAGTACTTCTGCAAATCACATACAGGAAGATAAACCAGTGGGAAGAAATGGGCAAAGATTAGCACCCGGCACTTCTCAGAAGAGAAAAAAGCGGCCAATAAGCAGATGAAAACATGGTCAGCTTCCTGGTACAGGCACCTGTGAGTTCCAGCAGTAAGCAGCCACTTCCGGCCGGACCCCGGAACCCCAGCCCCCCAGGAGGAGTGCAGGGTGGACAGCTGCTCTGGAGAGCAGTTGGCCGAGGCCGGACGATACGCCCACGTGCTTCCGCTCCTGGTCATTACCCTAGAACAACTCGCACGCGTGTCCGAGGAGACGCAGTGTCCACGGAAGCCCCGTTAGTCTTAGCATCCTTTGGAAAGGACTTAGATGACCCTCAGAAAGGAACTAGGTAATATGGGGGGGAAGTCGCGCTGCAGGGGTGTGGACCACAGCAGTTAACACGGGTAAACCACAGCTGCGTACAGCAAATATTTAGTGTTGAAAAAGAAAAGCAAGCCACAGATTGATCATTTATGGAAAGTGTAAAACTGTGTAAAATGCCGAGCACTGCTGAGTAGTAACAATAAAAACAGGACGGGAGCAGTAGCACCACCGTGCCCGCCGTGCTTACCTCCAATGGGGGAGGGGCTTCAACTGAATCTAGGTCTTTCCCTCGAGAACTGTAAAAATGAAGGAAATGTGGGAAAGGATTAATGCCATTAATAGCTGACTGTCACTGGGCATCCTGTTCCATGCCAGGCTCCTCCCTGCCCATGTAACTATTTTCATGAAACCGTAGGACGTCGGTGCCGTTTTGAGATGAGGAAAGGAGGCGCAGGGGTGTCGCTGGCGTGGCCTGGACCTCGGCAGGTGGCCTCGCTTATGTGCCCCAGGGGGCGGTGTCTGCCCCATTAGCTCCATATTTTATTTTGTAACGTTTCAGTTTTTAAAAAGCACATCATATACTACTTACCGGAATAAAAATGATAACATTGCACCATTTATTGGACTGAGATGATCCTTGTTAGGACATTGTCCTCATCTGAAGTGGAGAAGCAGCGCAGCCCCCCCGCAGGCATTGCTTTCCCCAAGTCCCTGCAGGGCTGGCACACGGGGGCCCAGAGCCAGCCCCCCAGGGCCGCTTAGGAATGTGGCTAGTACTGGGAAGCCCCCCATGGCCGCAAACCTCAGCATTTCCTAACGCGTGCTTTCCTCCCCGTTACAGTTTCTCGGTTAAATAAACTGATAGTTTAACACTCACTGGGACGTGGCTGTGGGCGGCCGAGGGGAGCGGCCAGTACTTACTGGCAAATGACACCCATCTGTAAGGCTGACTGTGGGTACTGGGAGGGGGCTTGCTCCCCCGGGAGAACGCACTGAGCATCTGTATTCATAACGCACTGGTAGAAGCTTCCAGGAGACTCCCAAGGAGTTAAGAGACACCCCGCATGCCTTCCAGCAGCGCACAGTGTGGCTGCAGACATGCACAGGTGGGACGGTGTCGGCTGCGGCGGGATCCCATCTGATCCCGCTGCTCGGGGTCTCTGTGACCGCGTTCTTGTCTCCCTTTCAAGCCCCTCCTCCGGGCTCCCCAACCCCCCACCCCGGGAGCCCTTGTGTCACAGGCACCTTCCCTTCTCAAGCTACGCCTGCCACTCGCTCAGTTTGTCATCGTCAGGTGCTACAGTGTATTCTGTGGGTCATTAATCTAGTTTATGCAGATTTCAGCATCTCCTTAGGTCAATTTAGGTAACTTTTTTTACATAAATTATCTTAATCTCTACATAAATTTTCATAACTTACTCTTAATGTAAGCTAAAAAGATGTCTCACTCGTTATTTTGAAATGTAGAACCTGCTGGTCGAAGATGACGGTGATTTCAGTACAGTCAGAGACGACGCTGGAAAAGAGAAACAGAAGCAGCTGGCCCTGGGAAGGAAGAGCAGGTAATGTTAGGGCTCCCGCTTACGTGACGCAGCCCCTCCAATCCTCCAGCGGTTCTGTCTCGCCCTGGCTTCCAGGCCCTTGCCGAGACTGGGAACCCACTGCACAGACCGGGCACTGGGCCTGCGTGGGCCGGGCTGCCTCCCGCCTTCTCTGGGGCGGAGGGGCGGGGAGGGGTGGGGTTTGCCACAGTCACCCCGAGGAACCCCCGTCCCCTGCCCTGGGGCTTCTCCCATTCGCCACCGCCCCCACTTTCTGGGTCTTTTCCTTCAGACACCACACACTTAGGTCTCAGTCATCCGAAAATGTGAGCGCCCCCAATTCCGCTGCCACTCCTGCTGCTTGGTCTTCGCTGCTGTCACCTGCCCGCCCGCTTCTAGGAGCTGGCCTGGTGCTGGTCCCGTGGCCGCCTCACGGCTGACCCTGCCCCGCAGGTCCTGCGCCTCTGTCCCCCAGGCAGGCGTCCTGCTCTGTCACTCTCCCCTCCACCCAGTCACCAGCCTCGGACACACAGTCCTTTGTCCTGGTACACAGTCCCCTTTCGGCCTCTGGGCCATGTGCACCTACCAGGTCCCACTGGAACATGCTTCCAAAACCAATACTTCAAACTCCATGTCACCCCACACAGGCCACCAGGGCACCATGGCTGTCCTCCTGGTCCCCACGTCCATCTCCTGGAGTCTTAGATCAGGAGACCTGTTGTAGAGCCACCTTCCCCGTCCCAGCTGCTCCAGGCTGGGTGGGTCCTTCTACCCAAGTTATGCAGGAGCCTTTGGGTGCTCTGCCTGGCTGACCTGGCCCCGCTCACCTCACCTTCCTCTGTCCCCTCCTTCCCTCCCATATACGGGTCCCCTGTGTCAGGCATTGTGACAGTGGCAAGACGTGCCCTTCCGCCAGGGGCGCGTGGCGCGGCCGGAGCAGACAGTACAAGGAGGCGGGCTGAGGGGGAGGTGGCAGCGGCCAGGTGTGTGCATGCGTAGTGACTTGTGGACTGCGCGTCTGTCGGTGCCTCTTGTGCTGTTATAATTTGACTCCAAAGGTGAAGGCAGATGACTGTATGGTGACACATTTTCACCCCCAGGACCGGAGTCTGACCCGCCATGTGGGCGGGGGGTGGGGGGTAAACTGAGGTCCTCGACGGGGCGGTTTGGAAGTACGTGTCCTCCCTGTGGCCCCTAAACATTGGGATGAATTTTGTAGCCATTCCAAATCCCTTGCCTGGGTGGACCCACGTGTCCGTGACGGCGAGCTGATGACAGCCAGTCAGTGACAGCCTGTGTCTCCCATAGCCAGGAAGCCCCTCGCGTGAGGAGCAGCGGCGCTGTCTCCGGTGCAGAGACGCCTGTCCGGCCCCCAAGACCAGAAGCTTCTCTCTCCATCCACGTTGGGAGTTTCAGATAGCACCAGCGGCCACCGCTGTCGCGTCCCCGTGGGCACAGCGCTGGCCGGTGCAGGTAGCGGGGCCTCTGCCGTCAGCCTCAGACCGGCATGGGCCCACGCGGGCAGCCTTGTCGGCTGCCTCCTGCAGACTCGGACACCAAGGCCTCTGCTCTATCACCGGCAGGTCCCGAGGAGGCCGGCACAGACCCAGCCATGGCTCACAGGCGCCGGTCAGACACTGCCCTCACGCCACACTTGTCCCCAACCGCCATGTTTATAAGGAAAGTCACTAGTTTTGCATTAACTGCAGGCATGTGACAACCTGCCGCTTAAAATGCGCTCTGTCTACACTGTTCAGGTGGCTTCCGGTCTCGGCATTAACCGGGTCTGCCTGCTCAGTTCACTGATGGTGGCCGGGCGCATGCTGTGACGTAAGGAAAGGAGGGCGGTCTGCTTTCTGGTCCCCACAGCACGGCCCCACTTCGGTCTGAGTTGCACAATTCTGAAGCGCTGGCTGTCTGCCCGGAATGAGCAGGCGGACGGGACGTCCTCTGAAGCTCAGGACAGCTGCTGAGAAGGCTGGTGAGGGGTGGTCTGCAGTAGGTGTTCTCGCTGCGGGGGCAGCTGCTCCCGGGCAGGACAAAGGGTGACGGGGGACAAGCCTGGCACGGGCCGAGCTGATCGCCCAAGCAGCCTCGATTACAACGGAAAGAAAAAAAAGTCAACTAAGATTGTTTTCCTCTTGGCTCAGCGTCGCAAACCATCAGAATTCAAAGATTTCATTGGCGTTTACCACAAGCGCAGGAGCACCGGACACTGGCCTGACCTGCTCTCGGCCTAACTCAGTGGAAGGCAGAATTCCTGAGAAGACACAGTAAACCTTACCTTCCTCACCTGCCCTGAGGCTTTGAGACGACGCGCCCGCTAAGAACAGCCAGCGCTTGTGGTGCCGAGAGCAGATGGGAAGCCCGGGGTCTCGGCCTGCCCGCAGCCCTGAGGAAACAAGGTGAATGTCCGAGCCCCGCGCTGCCTGTCCCTGGAGCTGGACACGAGTGGTTGCCCTGCCTTCCCTCTGTCCCCCTTCCGCTCTGTCCCCGCCGCTGTCGGGGCCCTTGGCCTCTCCTGCCTGAGACCGGGGCTCAGGTCGTAGAGCAGCGTGCACAGAAGGAGCTGCACTCGGACTCAGCGCTGCTTTCAGGGTCTGAACACGAACCATCACGGACACCTGCACACACGGTTCAGGCCGTGTCTTCATGGGCACCTTCGCATTGGGGACGACACCAAACCCATAAGGACCGTGAGTGGCTGGGAGCCCAGCCCTCAGTAGAAGCAGCCTGTTCTTTTTAACTGACATGTCTCCGCGCTGTGCCCCTTCGTTTCATTATAAGGTAATAAAACATCAGTGCGGTAGCCGGAAAGCTGTGCTTTTGAGAAGCCAGAGGCCTCACTGGACATGACTCACTGACATGGGCACAGGGGTGTGCCTTAATGTCCACAGCCAGCGTCTGCCGGGGCCCGGGGACAGGGTGGGCTCCGCTGGTTTGCCCCTCCGTCCCCCTCCTCCTCCCCCTCCCCTTTTTCCAAGTCGGGGATGGAATGGGGCCACAGGGAGAGAGCTGTACAACTTCATTAAAAAATAAACGGTCTTCAGGCTGTGTCCTGTGCTCCTGTCGGACACTGGCTGCTTCATGTCCTCCACAGCTTTTGTCCCAAGTGGACTTCAGATGCTAGATACACATGGTTTATATTTAGAAATACTGTATCGGTGCCACTTTAGAAATAACAGAAACATGTTGGGGTTTTAAATAAACTCAGACTCATGTGAAAACTGTTGGGAGAAACGCAAGCCGTCTGCGTCTCTCTTTCCTTCTAGGGAAATGGAGCAGGCGGTGGGGCTGCCTTGCAGAAAACATTTATTCAGATGTGACATTTTTCTGGCAAAGGGGGCGTGGCGTACAAAAATTCCCAGATGATGCAAAATGATGACTTCACAGATGTCAGGTTCCCTTTGGAACAGACTTAACCATGAAGGACCAAATATTACGGGCCCTTCGCCCTGCCTGGAAGGGACACGAACAGTCGTGTCATTCCCTTCTCGGCCTTGTGCTCATCCAAAGCACGGCCGTAATACGGGTCAGTCAAGCGAGTAAAGCGCGTGACGCGCTGTGGGTACATTCTGGAAATTCACTGCCCTCAGAGGAACATGAAGCAATGACGTCTATACACAACTAAAGAGGAGGAGGTTGCAGCTCCCCCAGTTCCCTGCCCCCAGCCCCCTACATGGCAGAGCCTGACACTGAGAAAGCCACTCACCACCTCACCCTGTGGTGCTGGTGTCAGGGTGCTGCCAGGACCCGCCCTCTGCGGCTGGCTCATGAAACTGCAGAGCCCACGCAGGGTGTCAAGCCCACGGAGGCCCCAGTACCTTTCTCTCCATGGTGGTTTCCGTCTTGCGTGGGCTTTTCCCCACGTGGCCAGATGCCACCGGCAGCTCCAGATTTACACTCTGTCGGACTCAGTGCCTCTCTAGGGACCTGTAAGAGTCCTGGGCCTGAAACCCATTGGTTCAAAATGGGTGACTGCACACCCTGCTGCTGACTCCATTCAAATGACAGTGGAGGGATGGGGGGGCAGGAGGGGCTGCCCAAGAGCCTCCCCGTGCTGTGAGCAGCAGAGGGGCGAGGCCGGGCCACCGTGCTCCTCCCGCAGGGAGATGTCAGGGGTGACGGCACCCACCTTAGTATTAGCAGCTAGTCCACCTTGTCCCCCGACCCAGGTCTAGGGTCTCGGGGAGACCCGTTCCTCTGGGCCGGGTCCAGTGGATGCAGCCTCATGGTTTAGCATATGGCTAAATGACAAATGCAAACCCAACCCAGAACCAGCGTCCAGTGGGGTGGGGATGACCCATGAACGCAGCGGCCACAAGCCCACGTCGCTAGACAGATCGCACAGACCCCCTGCCTACCTGGGAGGCAGTCCCTTGCCCAGCCACGCTGGCCGCCCTGGTCCGCCCTGGGTACATCTGACATGGGCACGGGGAGGGCCCCCTTTGTGGAAGCAGCACGTGGGCACTTCCTGAAGCTGCACGTCCTGGAGGCCTGAGGTCGATGAGCCGAGTGAGCACAGGCTTTTGTTCGGCAGCTTGGGGCCTGGCTGGCGACACGTCTTCCTTCAGAGCCCAGGAGGCTTCCGGCTGATCTGTCCACACGAGCGAGAAAGACTAACTCGTGGCCAGCTGGCATCGGCCATGTGTTTGCAACTTGGTGCTTTTGTGATAAAAACTCTGAAGGCTGCACGCGTGTTCCAGGCCAGCATCCCCGGTGGGGCTGGTGTGGTTGGAGTTGCCAACCCCCTGCGTGAGCAGCGTCTCTGTACAGGCCCAGCCCGGCACTCTCGGACCACGTCCGGGAGGCCCCGCACCCCGTAACCACCTGCCCAGATGAACCCGTGTGCTGTTTTCTCTGCACCACTTCCCCCACCTCTGGCCGCACACCTGCATAACAGGTGTGACTAGTCTCTATTGTATAAGCTTTTGCTTTTCCAAATACAAAATCATTGCCCAATTCTACCATCAGGGGAGATGAGTAGTTATAGGACTGCTACAGGGATTAGGTTCAACCCTGAGACAGAAAACAAGATACCCAATTCTCACTCACGTAGAAGAAGTGCAACGAAGGCAGCACGGACTCCGTGGAGGCTATGCAAGTATCAAAAAGCGGCTTCTCTATCTGCCACGCTCAGTACTCGCTTCCGTTCTCAAAGCCACCCCATGGCCCACGCTGGCTGCTGGGGCTCCGGCCATCATGTCCACCCTCCAGGCCAGCAGCAGGAGGAAACGGGCATGTTCCTATGTTTTAAAGGAAACTTTCTGGAAATATCAGTTAATATTTATATCTCTTTGACCCAAACTAAGTCACATCCCTAAAGTTTGCAGGGACACATTTGGGCACCATGCTTCCCCAGAGGATGCAAAGGGGAAAGAGAACCGGTGCTTATAGGCATCCAGCAGGGGCTTCCACGAGCTCTGAGCGAGTGTGAGCTTCTAACATTTAAAATTAGATTGGACAAGGGCCAGCCAAGTGGCTCAGTTGGTTAAGAGCTCACTCAAGAGTGTGAGCTCTGAGCAACAGGGTTGAGGGTTCGATTCCTGGCCCAAGCTGAGCTGCCAACAGGTGGCAGGACAGCTCAGCTAAATGAAAACAAAATGGATTGGACAACACAGAGCCAGGAATACGGTAAGGCGAGGCCTTGGGTGCAAAATTGAAAGGCACCAAAAAAAACCTCAGCAAGCTAGATCATTTTTCAAAATCATTTTAGAAATCAAAATTAATGAAAAAAAATCCATGGGGCCAGCCGGGTGGCTCAGTTGGTTAGAGTATGAGCTCTGAGCAACAGGGTTGCCGGTTCAATTCCTACATGGTCCAGTGAGCTGCGCCCCGAGCTGAGCTGCCACAGGGCGGACGGATGGCTCAGCTGGTGAGAGCACGTGCTCCTAACAACAAGGTTGCTGGTTCGACTTCTGCATGGGATGGTGGGCTGCGCCCACCCGCAACTAAGATTGGAAGTGGCAACGACTTGGAGCTGAGCTGCGCCCTCCACAACTAAGACTGACAGACAAAAATTTGACTTGGAGCTGACGGGTCCTGGAAAAATACAATGTTCCCCATCCCCAATTCCCCAATAAAATCTTTAAATAATAATAATAATAATAATAATCCGGGCTGGCCGAGTGGCGCGTTGGTTAAGAGTTGGCTTGGGACGCCAGCTCTGAGCATCAGGGCCCCGGTTCGGATCCCACATGGGCCAGTGACACTGCGCCCTCTACAGCTAAGATAGTGAACAACAGCTCGACCTGGAGCTGGGCTGCCGTGAGTCGCCGGTGACGGCGTAGGCTGCAGTGGGGCTGGCCGGCAGCGGGCGTGAGCTTTCGTGAGCCGCCATGAGTGGCTGGCAGCCAGGAAAAAAAAAAAATCCATAATGACCAAAATATCACAATTTTAAATAAAGACTGTTCCAGCAACAACAGTCAGTGCAAGCCTGGATACTGTCTTTAGAAAAAAATCTTCTCAAGTCCTTTTTGCGTCTGCGAGCACGTCCACACTGCCCTTGGCTGACTCCATTCCCAGGGACCTCCTGCAGCGGAGAAGGGACGCTTAGGGTCAGAAGGAAGAAGAGAGACTGGAAGCCCTCCATCTCACGGAGGAAAAGGGGAGAAGGGTGAGGAACTCAGAGGTGTCTCCCCATTTCCCCTCTCTGGTCCCTGTGGCCCAAGGTTTAATCTCCCCGAGCCACCCTGTCGTCATGCAGTGTAGACAGAGCTGGGAGCCAGTGGAGTTGCCTCGGGGCCTGTGGCGGAGGCCAGAGTCGGGATCGAAGCCACCAGCACCACCAGGAACAGCCTGAGGCCACAGAACAGCCCCTGCGTCAGACGTCAGCCTCCAGGTGCAAGGTCAGGGTCCCAGCCAGCAGGTAAAGGCCATGTTGGCAGAGAGAACCCCGTGACCAGCGGGGGCCAAGGACTCCTTCCTTCCTCTCCCGTCAGGGACACAGGACTTCCTCTTTCCAAACACCTGGAAACCATCTAAGGGAGACAAGCAGGGCCGGGGGTGGGGTCATTAGCTGGGGGCTTTCCCTCCCCCTAAAGAGATTTTAAATCCCGAGGGAACCGGAGCAAAGACTGCTGGCTGATGACACAGCCCCTCGTTGCAGGGCCAGATGGCATTTCCCAGCATCGTTTGCAGTCAGGTCCCTCAGGGGTTTTCATTTGCAGCTCTGCCCCCGGGCGGGCTCAGGAACCGCTGGCACACTCGATGTTCCCAACCCCAGCAGGAACGGGGTGACCAGAGCCACACTGGCAGATCCCTGAGTGACTGACACACATCTGCCCTTGACTGTTCTGGGGAAAAAAAAAAATTCATTGTTAGAGTCGTGATATTTGGGGGTTTACTTGTTAAAGTAGCTGAGCCTGCCCCAACTTACGGCAACTCACATTAGCAGATCAGATGGAGCACTTATTTTTGTGGTGGATGAACTCACAGGAAGCCGCTGTTCATCTTGCAATCGCACTACCCTTGGACCCTCCCCACACCAGACGCCTATCTGCTTTGACACAGTGGAGCCCAGCCGTGCCAGGCGGACCACACTGGTGCAGGAGAGGCGGCTGGCTGACCCCACACCAGACCTACCCCTGCTCTGTCACCAAGGAGCTGCCAGCAAGCAGCAGGAGCCCAGCTTCCGGGCCACGACGCAGGTGTGACTGGGCCCTGTTTCCCCTATCGTGTGGGCTGGGCTTGGTGTAAGGCCTGGGTCACGGCACTAGAGTTATGGTCTCTGGTGCCCAACTGCCCTGTGACTCCCATCTACCATGTGCTGGCTGTGCGACGTGGGACACGTTGTGAACCTCTCTGAACCTTGCACTCATCTGTAAAATGTAGATACCCACCTGGTAGGACTGTTAGGCGAACAGATGAGTTAATATGTGCAGAGTACTTGGGCCAGTGTCAGGCACATTACAAGTGTGCCAATCACCAGTAGCATCATCGGTCATCGTCCCCATGGCCCCGCTGCCTTGGCAATGACTTAGTCATGAGTATGCGACTCAATTCTAGACAGTGACACGTTAGGGGAGGTCAGTGGAAGCCAGGGCTTCTAAAAAGCTTCCTTTTACTTTAA